TCTCTCTCTCTCTCTCTCTCTCTCTCTCTCTCTCTCTCTCTCTGTATATATATAAAATTATATTTTAGGTACATGGTCTGTCGACCGCTGTGAAAGATCCCGCTAAAGGCAAGAAACTGTGGGAGTTAAGCGAACCTTTAGTGAAGTTGCAACCATCTGATCCGAAGATCTGAATGTTTTCAGCGTATGTGTGTATTTCTTCAGAAATTTTCGTAGCATATCTGTCTTTCCCATGTAGCAGTAGTTTTGTACTTAAAACTTCAACGCTCATTTCACAAGTCGCTAATGTTGTCTCAATGAAACGGAACTTGAAGTAGAACTCAATGAGCTTTTGCAAAAGTTATATCATTTCCGACTGGGTCACAATTCGTTAACATTTTCCTTCTTTTGTTCTTTGTACATCTATCAAGCGATATAAGAGCTGATTAAGCTAAGCAATAACGAGGAGTCACGTTTTCCTCATTACGATATTACACGTGAAGACACTTTATATACACAGTGTCATATTTCTACCGTATTATTTTGTATTATTATCAGATTCTCGGTACAGTTTGAGAGCAATTTTCCCTTAGCAAAAATGTCGAAATAATCATAATCGCTTTTGGTGATTGTTCAATTTTTAATATCCTGTATCTTTGTAACTAAATGAAATATTTATTAAAGCAAACTTTATTTGAAATTAAATGAAGAACATAATTTTCATATTCATTTGACTCCTTGAAATCCAGTTTATGAAACCTTCTTTTCCAATCGCTTTAATTTAAAAATTATCAATATTTCGACATTTTTTCTCTCGACATCTTTTCTCAAGAAAAATTCCGCTCCAAATTAGCTAAAAAATTTTCCGTAAAAAATAGCGTGATAAAATTAGTACATTATGAAAAATCATGCATAGAAATTGTTTAAAATATTAACCAGTATGTATCAGTAAAGCTGTTTCATCTTCGAATTTTCTGAGCCACGTTTCATTTTCGCCGTACTAGCTTTACCTGTATGCCAGTTTAGGTCGAAATTTGTAGAATCGTCACTTTTATCGTTAGAAACTTGCTTCTTTGGTTTAGCGAGGTCACGCAACCGTTTAGGACAACGTCTGTTGTTGGTAGCGACAATACGGGCGTAAGTATCGAGAAGAAATGTCTTCTTATCAGACTGATTAAATGGTTTCGATAGTTGCTTGTTGTCTACCAACTTATGCACTTGGTGCTTACCTAAAAGTATCGAATCTATAAATAATTGCAGTTATATTGAAAGCGAAAAGTTCAAGCGTCGTAAAACGAAGTTGATTATGGAAAAGAGCTGACATATAAATAATGGATAATATGGGTAAATAAAGGAAAAAAACTGACAAATGAATAAATTGATAATTGAAATACTGTCGTGAATAATATTATTGTAATATTATTATAATAATAATATTATAATTCATAATTAATTTATATATATATATATATATATATATATATATATATATATATATATATATATATATATATAAATTATATGTATAAAAACATATGTATAAAACAAGAGGAGATACTATATTAAATTGACTATGGATAGGTAGCTGATGGACAAACAAGTGTCAATAATTACAATATTATTCGTGATGCGAGTAAATAATATTGTATTGATTAATAATTCATCTACGTATAGGTAAACACTGAAATGAGACGACATTTGTGAGATTTCACCTGTTGCAGAATAAATATTTTTTGTAGATAAAGGCGACGCGTTGGACGGCTGCGTTGAGTTAATGTGAGACTTTCGTTTTTGTTCGCTTTTTCTATTTAAGTTGTTGAGTGTTTGATCGGGCTGAATCTTCTGGAATAACACGCGGTTACATATTTCAATGTCGCGCTTTATACTTTATAATTTCCATTGCACGATCATGATAACACTACCTGAAGATCGTCTGAATTATGATGCACCTCAGGTTCTTTCTCCTGTTTCTCGTATTTTGATGTATTCGCTGACAAAATATCAGCATTCATATCGCAGTCACGGACTGCACTTCTCCCGCTGTTCAGCAAAGTATCTGTTGGTGGCAGTATCTTAACGTGTAATGTCGTGGTTTCGATGAAAATTGCGTCGTGTAAATGATTAGTTGCGCAGAGAATTAACTTGAAATTTTAACCCAAGCGTAAGATTGACGTGAGTTTTTGAAAGCCGAGACACAACGGTATTTGTTTCTTGATCGTTATTCAATTGTAATCTCGATCTTGGCTATTATCACGTATTGATCTTATTTTACATCGCTTCGCAATGTTGTAGGTATGTTTTAATAACATTCGAGATAAACAAACGAGATGTAAAAGTTATTCTGTAAAAGTTATAAAGATTTATTACAATAGATTACTAATGAACCGTATAAAATATACATATAAAGCATATCAAATTATATTAAATACAGTAAATCTTAAAATTATCAGATTCGTAAGTTTCTCGTATTTGGACGGATACGTTTCAGAGATTACGGCGCTCCATTGGACGGACGTCAACAAAATCATGAAAAATTCGTACATTATTTCTACTTTGTCAGTTAGTATTTGTACTGTTACGACTCTTTATCTCTTTTTATACACGTGTATAAAATATTCTTTTATAAAATATCTAACTGATGCTTAACGCGTAATTTTATGATATCAACAATAGCTTACGTCGCAATGATGTTGTCTTAACATTGCCAATGATAAAACAAACTAGATGTCAGATCTCGCATATTTTGACAAAAGATATCTGTTTCCAATTTAAGATTCTTGTCAACGAGAGCACGAACCGGGTATTCGTGTGAAAGCAGAGCTGCAAATAACATTGGTACTTATCTACCATATACAAAAGTAAACGTGATCATAACTATCGTGGCGAACAAAGAGTAGCTGATCGCTGACGCGCCCGCGTTACAATCCACGATTCTTCTGGCTCTCATAAAGTCTTGTCCGAGATACGCACTATATTCTCGTTTCTCTAGCGGCACGACCATTAGTTGCTGAGTGGCGTCTTGGAAAATGAGATCGCTGTACGGCGGTATGCTGTAGTACATGCTGAAGCTGAACTCGTCCAGCTCCTTCTTTCCGTAGAACTGCTGCGCGTAGATAAAGAGATTGATGTATGCCTGAATCTCCGTCTCGTTATAACTGTAACCGCCGCGCGTGACTATGGCGTTGGCGGCTACTTTGCCGAGGTTGCAGTCCATGTATCTCATGGTTGGACGGCGCGTACCGTCCGGACAGAGCAGCTCGAAGTCTTTCGTGAAGGTGTTGCGCGCCCAAAACTCTTTGCGCTTGCCGTCGGTATTCTCCGCGATCGTCGTATGCTTCACGAACGCCACGTCTCCTCCGCCTTCCACTAAACATCTGAAGGCACCTGTATGGCCGAAATAATCCTCGGAAGCATCTCTGCGGCAGTATCTGGAGCTCACTCCATGGCATAGGTCACACATGTTATCGTAAGGCACATCTGTAATTAAATATCCAATAAGAAACATTTCGTGCATAAAGAGAATTTCAAAGTAAAAATTACTATAGAATTCTGTAACCGAGAAACATATCGACATTCTGCCTTAATTTATTATTTTTCTATTTTAGATACGTGTTGTACTATTCATAATTTTCAAGAAAAATTATAAAAAATATGTAAAAAAATTTAAAAACTTGTTTAAACATATATTGAAAAAGAATCTCACTGTGTTCTTTATAAACTCTACTATCAGTCTATTTCTGCACTACTAGAAAACATATATGGCAAAATTATTATTAACAATTTTTTAATTGAAAAGAATATGTAGAAAAGTTATGAGGCTCTTCCCGTGCAGACAAAATATGGACCTTCTTTTCATTAATAAAACGAATGCTTTAGTTTTATTTACCTGTATTATACTCTGTGCTAAGTGCGCCTGGCACGCAGGACTTGGAGAAGTATTCGGCGGCAGCGCGCACGGAATCACAACCATATCCTCTTATCCACTGATTGGAGATGAGATAGGCCAGCGGATAAACCCAGCCAGCAGCCATGTTGATACCGGTGTGACAAGTGTTTTTGTTTTTAAGGTAAGTCAAATCCGTATTGTCGTCTTCCTCCTTAGCTACGGCGACGACATAATAATCCGGCGTATTAAGGTTATAAATTTCGGATATAAACGGGATCAGATCGAAGCGCAATCCAGCGGTGTAAACATCGCTGGCGTCCAATACAGCTACGTCCGCGAATCTACCGTAAAAAACGTGAGTCACATACCACAATTATGACTCATATAATTTCATATATACTGACATACTTGTACCTGTACCAATATATTAAAAATAAAGCAATATTTATGGTCTGATCTTGTATCTAAAAGTGTTCTAAATTAATTTTGAGATATTATATAATACTTAATTAGAAAATAAAAATAAAAACTGCTTATACAGCATTTTAAAATGAATCTAAGGTGGTTTTAAATATAAGATTGCGAGCTGTGAATACCGTTTATAGATATATTTTTTACACATACCCGCTTTGTATCGATTGCATGCAGTTTATTTGACTGTGACCTCGAAAACAATGCAATTCTGGTTTTAGCAGCTGAGCTTTCAAGGCTGTCTGCAACAGTGATTAATATACATCAAGCGACTCGTAAAGCAGCTTTAGTAATCTTTTTGGTCAAATATGCAATTTCCTGAGTTGTACCTGCATCTTCGCGCATTTTTCCATCTCTGGAGCGGATGTAACGCACATAGTCATCCGATTTATAGGACAGTAACGTATTGCCAGTATTTGATTCAGAGAAGACTGTCCCAAGTAGCTCTCGTATCTTTGATCTGTTTCGGACAGTTGCATGAGATTGTGAGTAGAATCCTGAAAAAAAAGGAACATTGTTACATCGAACACATTTACACCAAAGAGGAATATGAAATCACGCGCGTAAATATATTGAATAAATGAGAAATGCAAATCTTACGGAAAAGATTAAATTATGTTGACTGCCGTATCTGGGTGCGGATTCGAATAAATCGAACACTTCTATCAGTGTTACATTTGTAGACTCGCTAGATGTGTTCTCCCTGTTGTCATAACCTCTACCATCCATGCTGTACTCATATGGATTGTTTTTAACTGCGTTAACGCTATTGTCGCCCAACTTGTAACCTGAGCGGTTCTCGTAGTCTCTTTGAGTGTTGTCAAGACGATTGTTAGAATAGATCGACGTATTCTTAAATATATTAACTGCAGTCTGTAGAAATTGTTGGTAAAATCGACTAATTTCGTAATCGCGTGCGGAAGACGTGACCACTGCACGGGACGGCACAGTGCCCCAATTACAGTTTCTATATTCGTCCACGGACCGGCGAGTGCCATCCTTGCACAGTAATTTAAACTGTTCTTTTTTCAATTCAACTAATAACAAATATTAAGTAATAAATATTATAATTATTTTATATTATCACAAAGTAATGAATATTTATTAATACCATGTGATAAATATTAATAATTTCTTTAAGACTTGAATTATAAGATGATCTACGTACCAAAATCAAATTTAGTTGAAATCATTTCCTCTACAGTGTTGTGCACCAAGAAGGCAATCTCACCCGCTTCAACCAAACAGCGAAAAGCTCCCTCATATCCTGCATAAGGATCTTGAGAAGTGCATTTGCCACCAGGTATTTTTCCAATACACAACTTACATAGATGGTCGGAGTTATCACCTGTGATAGATTTTTTAAATTATAACAACTATAAGATTACATTCCAAGCAGCAAAATGACGTTTATGACGTCTTAATGACGTCTCTGTACACTTTTGTATCTGTCATCTGTACACTTTTGTATTAAGTTTCATGAATTCTTACCAAGTGGGTTGTATTTGTCGATCAATGAATTCACTGCACAGCTAGGTCCAAAGTAATTAATCGCAGATTTTACATGGTTGTTACAGTCAATGATTTCCATTCCTCCCTGTTTCATGAGCTAAACACAGAATATATTATTATATATAGCGTGATTTGTAAAGTGTGTGTGTGTGTGTGTGTGTGTGTCACTGATCAAATTTAAAAAAAAATTTGGAAACATGAAAAAATAATTTATACTGACATGCTCAGTATAAAGGGAAACATTATATGATAGAAATGACTAGTTTACAAATGGAAGCATTGAGGACATTTGAAGATCAACTTCATATTTTTAAATAGATTTTTAAATAGATATTTAAAATTTTAATGGATTTTAATGGAATTTTAATGGAATTTTAATGGAATTTTTTAATTTACTATACTTTTTATTTCATAGTAGCTTTTTCTGAGACAAATTCAATTACATAAGACTCGACCTTGCGCCCTTAGATTACTTTTTGCAGGGATATGTCAAAGATATTATATGTTCGGAACAACAACTCGTGATAATGTGATTGCTTGGATCACTGCAACACTCAAAAACATTTTATTGGTACAATTGAGAAAAGCAGTGGATCATTTGACACATAGACATTATTTCTGTTGTCGAGTTCAAGATCACAATTTTGAACATTTATTGTAAAGAACAGAAGTACAAGATATATAAGTAAATTTTATTTTATTATGTGTTTACGATCTTTATTAACCTTAAAATATATTATAAAATTATAAAAATGAGTGTCTTTACTGATCTTAAATGATCAAGTGAGTAAGGTCACAAATACATGATAAAATAAAATTCATTTGTATGCCTTGTACTTACATTCTTTACAATGTTCAAAATTGTGACCTTGGACTCAATGACAAAGATAAAGCCTGTGTGTCAAACGATCTACTGTTCTTCTCAATTGTACTAATGAAATTTTTCGAGTGTTGCAATGATTTGAGTAGTCATATTATCATGAGTTGTTCCAAATATATATCTTTGTCATTTCCTTACCAAAAGTAATCTAAGGGCGTAAGGTCAGGTGAGCGAGGCCATGCTACAGGTCTTTTATGTCCGAATCATTGGTATAGATATTTTTGATTCAACAAAATTTGTATTGGTAGAATGAGCTGGTGCTCCATCTTATTGAAACCACATTTGTTTTCGAGTATGTAAATCCACATCTTCTAGCAATATTAGCAAGTGGTTCTCAACAAAATTGTAGTACTAAAGGATTATATTATGAAATAAAAAGTGTAGTATTCTATTTAAAAAATTAGGTTGACTTTCAAATGTCCTCAATGTTTCTATTCATAAACTAATCATTTCTATCATATGATGTTCTTCTTTGTGCTGAGCATGTTGATATAAGCTATTTTTTCATGTCTTCAAATTTAAAAAAAAATTTTTTTAATTTTAAAATTTTTTAAATTTGATCAGTGTCATCTTATATGAATCATACTGTATGTTATATATATACTTTTCTCTAATTATATATATATAACCACATAAAAAAAAAATATATATATATATATATATACTTACAGTATTGATAGGAATAACCCAACTTGCCAATGTTCCAACACCAGCAAAGCAGGCTTTCTTGCCTCTTAAATCATGTAAGCTTTGCACATCAAGCAAAGAATCACTTTTAATTACTGCAACAGCATACTGATAATTGATATCACCTTCATATATTTCTTGCATTATGGGTATAAGACTATGGTATCGTCCTGCTAAAAAGACTTCTCCAGCATCCAATGTTGTTATGTGTGCTTCATCATGCTCCAACAAAGTTATACATTCTTCCTTGTTAAATGCCTGCTTACAGTGTATAAGCAAAAGTTTGTTGAAGGCATATTTTTCACGTTCAACTGCTCTGGAGAACGCTTCACATTTATCTTGTTCACTTTTAGAGGTTGTACACCATGTGGCTGTGGTATTGACTTGTTTGTTAGAAAAATTTTTACCTGTCAACCTGTTACCTGTCAAATAATCATTAGAAATATTTACTAAAATCTTATTTCTATTACCCAGGTAGCAAGGTAATGTCTAAAAATGTTATTAAGATATGATTAAGACATGATAATAACATCCAAATGATATCTTTAGACGTCACCTTGCTATTTGAGTATATAAAAAATAAGTTTAAACGTTTAAAGTAAAATTGCAACAAACAATATATAGGTATAGTATGTAATTCTTACATATAAGAAACTGTAATAAACACATTATACACACAAAACTAACAAATCAACAAGAAACTATAATTTAATTAACTTCATATATATTTATTCTTAGAATGATTTGAGTCTATTTTCTATGGAAAAAATTATTCATAACATAACGCGCGATACAGTGAAATAACGCTGTATACTATAATAATTATTTGCAACACGATTATGCATATAAAATTTGCAATACCATTTATTTGTAATACGAAAGTGCACAGGAACACCAATATTGCATAGTTCTTCGACCACATTTTTTTTTTAAACATTTCTTTTTGTCAATCACGAACACAGACAACACCCTTTCCTTCCTTCCTTCACTTGGCTGGGAACACTTGTAGTCACGTGACCCTACGCTATTGCTCAGATGAATGCTGCCGTCGTATGTGATTAATGGGAAAAATTTAAATTGTTAAACCCAATCTTCAATTTTTAATTCTTCGCTATATAAGGTTACAGCTGTTAACTCGTGTAATGAATAGAATAAGGCCTAGGAAGATCTTAAGCAACGTTCCAAAAATCACAAGGTCTGAACTTACTCAGACACGTCTCATCGTGACGGCAGTTAGGCCGAGACTATGACAACACCCTTTGACATCACTATTTCTGACTGTACCGAACTACACCCAACAGTGCGACGCATGACGTAATCCACTCATTAGGCCTGTTCTTTGTAGCTGCACTGCTGGGTTGCGTTCTAAAATTCTACTCGGTGGGTAGAATATATTTAATTGATCAATCATGATAAAGAAATTCTAGTTATTTATGTTCTCATTGATCAATTAATAAATGCTACTCTACCCCGGGTGGGACCCGATTGACCACGATACGATTGGACACAGATTGTAATGATTAGTTGGACCTAGTAATTCACTAGATAATTCTTTTCATCGGTTGGTTGTGTCCAATCGGGACGCTCCCCTCTATCCCTCGAGTAGAGTTTTGGAACATAGCCCTGAACGGGTGGGGCCCGATTGACCACAGTACGATTGGATGGTACGACACAATGGCTACGTACAGTAGAGAAAGCTGCTTTGCAACTGTTATAAAATTCGTGAATCTGATTGGTACATGTTCTTGGATTCAATCAAAATTAAAAGCATACTCCAATCAAATTCATGAATTTTACAACAGCTGCAAAGCAGCTTTCTCTGCTGAACGCAGTCATTGTAATGATTGGTTCAATCTGGTAATTCACTAGATAATTCTTTGCATCGAAAAGTATGAAACATGCAAGCAGCACGAACAATCCTTTTTCCCTAAATTTGTTAGGGAAAGAATCGAATTGATTAAGAATCGGACATCTCTAGTATATATATAGACCAAGCATTCTGTCCGCAAAGTGAAGCCGGAAGTTGACAGTTTAAAACAGAGTGAGAAAGTTGATTTGCCCCTAGTGCTTTTTCACTCTATATTGGGTGCTTTCCAGTTACATTTTGTGTATTACGCAAAACCAATTTATTAGTTGTATATTATCTTACAAGATATTTTAGATAATATGCGACCAATAAACTGGTTTTGTGTACGTATGTGTCAAGATGTGTTAAGCAATTGGAAAGCACCTATTGGTTGCTTTCCAGATTAAGAGACACAAACATCTTGTGTCAAACTTTGTTCCAAATTTAGTGAGTAATAAAGATAGAATGATACTTGTGTCGACTTGTGTCTCTTGATGGAAAACAACCATTATTGAGGTTAGGCGACAAGTGGAAGGGATAATGTTGGTATCAAGAGAAATCTCTACATGATATAATTTAAAGATCTGTTTTTTGTAACTGCACTGCTGAACTAATGCAAAAGATTAGAGTGAGAAAACGTATAGGTTAGAATGTTTTCCGTTTTTGTTCCGTTCCGTAACAGTTCCGTGCCATATGAAATCCATTTATCAAACAACGGAACGGAATAAAAACGTAATTACTCTGATTGGCTGACCCTCACCATCTCTTTTCCGTAACTGTTCCGTTCCGCTATTTCTTTCTCCATCTTAACGTATCCTTATAGCATGTTCGACTGGCTCTGGGTTAACCCACTCTGGGTTATTCAGCCTACGTTTATTGGTCGAACAATTACTTATAAGCTTTATGATTGGCTAGTAGAAACTTCATTAATCGCTCTCGGAGCGATTAACCCAGGGCCAGTCGAACACGCTATTAGAGTGAGAAAATGTATATTTGTCTCACTTCATTATATTACACTAGTTCAGCAGTGCAGCTACAAAGAACAGGCCTATTGAAAGAGAATATCTTGAGAAAGGAGTGCTAAATTCTTCTGATAATTTCACAAATAATTCAACTCAATGACAAGCCAGACGGATATTCATGACTTCTGCACACAGAATAGCCAATCAACTTGCCGTTTTCCCGTAGGAGCGAAATGTTGATTGGCTATTAAAATATAAATGCGCTCAGTGAGCTATTGTATCTAATTGGAATATTCCTTTAGATCTAAAATTATGCACCAATCAGATTCAAGAGCTCATTGAGCGTTGAGTGAGCGGACGTGTTTCTAGATGCGCCCATACGTATTCTGACATAGTAGAGAGATGGCGCGTTTATCTACATGCTCCTGCACTTAAAACAAATATTTAATGTACTCATATTATGACCGATGAATCAATTTTCCTTAATTGGATGCATTTTCTTCTAATAATTGTAATTTAAAATATAAAGTTTATTTGGTTTATCGTAATGAGACTTATATTGAGAGCAGTTCGATTGTTATTCTAAAACGTAGTTTGAGATTCTCTGCTAGGGGTCGGCACCGTTTCCATCCAGGTTGTAGTATGACTCAACGGCAAGACTAGTGAAATTTTGTGTTTTAAGCTGTAAGAATTTCTCTCTTTCTCTTTGAATATTTGGCGGGTAAGTACTCTTAAATATTATTAATAATAATCTCTTATATATTAAATAGTTGTATATATGAAAGTTTCCTCTTTTCAATATTCTTTAAATTTCGTTTGCGCAGAATTTTATTGCTCTTAACCTCTTCAAGGACAAATTTCTTAAAATCAGAAGAAAATTATGTAATTTTAAAGTAATATAAATATGACATCTGTCAATCATATTACGAGATTTTTCTTTTTCTGGTGGGATTTTTTAATGATTATTTATTTATAATACTACTCGTATGTTTGTCGACAATGTTTGAATTAAAAAAGAGAAAGAGGTTAAGAAGCATTCTAGCATTATATATAAATAGTAAAAGTGTTATTATTTCTTAAAAATGCAAATATAACATGAAAAAGTATACAAAATTGTTCGCTGCGTTACCTAAAAATTTGTGAGTATAATTAAAACTTGACATACGTTAAATATTTCTCACATCCTGCATTTCGAATAATGGCGCCATAAAAATGTGTGTGATTCCAACAGGAAATATATTGGAGCAAATTTCTCTATTGTTTATTGCTGTTAAATGATTCGCTGCTGCAAGAACAACAAGACCATCGCGAGCGTCCCGGTGGCCGTGATCAACGAACCTACGAAAGGAGACAAAAAAGTTCAAGCGACTCGGAAGACTACGGCTTCGCCAAATTAGTTGGTAACGATGCAATTAAGTGTGATTAACCTTTAGAATAGCATCGCTCTCCTTCCTTACAGACGCATTGCTGTTGCTTACACTCTAACACATCCAAGGACTGAGCGTCCAAATAGCATTCATAGTGTTTTGCGCAGGAATGATATAAACCTGAAACAACACGTGTGTACGTTGAAATCAATGTTGCTCGTTATGACAATTCTGCTTCCGCCTCTCTCCTTTGCGATCTCCCACTCTTTCACTGTTTACTATTTCGTTTATGCACTGTGAAAAAAAATATCTAAAAATTAAAAATATTTATTTGGTGGGATAATATCCCAGATGGCACAAATGTCCAAAATCGAGTCATAAAACGTTTTTAAGACAACTTTAAGACATCTTTAAGATAATACTTTATAAACTTGTCTTAAAAATAACTTAAAGACATCTTAAAGATAATTTAAAGATATCTTATGTCCCACTTTTAGGCATTGTGGTGCTGGGATATTTACTTCAGTCTAAATTCTTTTTTAACTTGAATTTAATTTTTTAAATTTAATTTTGTTAATTTAAATAGAATAACCAACTGTGATTTAACTAAAAACTATGGTTTTAAGAAAATGTATATTCTCTTGCTTTAGAAAAATGTTTTCTCGATATAAAAATATGCATATGAGTATAAGCAAATGTGTTATTAGTACTCATCACGAATAAATATTCTTTACTTTTTAGATATTTTTTCTCTCAACATAGCATCTAATCTGCTATCTCACTGACTGTTTTACCTCGGCTTTTAATGCAGCTTTTCGTCTCGTTTGCGTAATGAAAGCCCGTAAAACATTCGCACTTCTCGTTGATGCAATTCGCGCGGGCGAAACTGTCCTTACATATTGCTTGCGATTGGCATCGATCACCGATGTTGATAGGTCCTGAAATATTTTGTCAACAACTCACCAGGTTTATACGTAAAACATCACTTTCGGAAATATTATATTAAGTCAGACAAAAAATTCAAAAATTAAATTTTTCTATCAAATTCGATCTTGTCGCATTCAATGGAAACTAATTATTTATTATCACAAATAATCATTGTTGTGATTATCGGAAACAATGACTATATATATATATATATTTTTTTTTTATATCAAATTATGTAAAATAAAACACCTAATTATTGACATCCCTTTAGTTATTATCTAGAAAAGCCTAATTTTCCATGTGACCAGCATAGTACTTAAACTTCTTGCTTACATTTAATAATTCCAAAAAACGATTTCACACAACACAATTAAAATTCTGAACATCACGCAGGGGGAACCAAATTTTTCTAGAATGTCAATAACTATAGAAAATCAATAATTGGATTGTTTTTATCCTAACATAGTTATCCGTGCAAGAAGTGAATCTGTGAAAAACTATAATTATATTTGCATTGTGTATATTAGGCGACATGGGAAATCGTCATCACTCACTTCTGATGCAATTCGAAGAATTATTGATGTCCTGCACGAAATCGTCTTTGCAAATGCATGAGCCCTGCTTGCATTCCCCATTCGTTATCGTGGCGCACATCGTGTCGTTGACGCACGATCGTCCGATAGCTACAAAGACGTAGGAAAAAGCATCATCTTATCGCTCGGAAGAGAAGATAAGTGAAAATCGGTAAGTAAACGAAATAAGCGAATATCGATTCAGCACTGACTCATGCGTTCACTACTGCATTGACTTGTCGCGTTAATTTTGTTCAATTGTGATTTTAGAATACAAAGAAATGAAAGTCAATCTGATAAATTTGAAAGGGAATAATTAGGCACACGACTGAAAGACAAACTTTTTTCTTCTGTGCGATTTGCTTTGAAGCTATTTCTTTCTGCGGATTGATTCAAGCCTTTTATTGGGTGAACTCACTGGCGATGCACATCGATTGGTCGAGAGTCGGCGAGTGAAACGGCTCGCACTGGCAAGTAAGTTGTACGCGGCAATATGCATTGTTGATGCAATCATGGTCCCTCTGGCAATTTTGACCAACAAACGCTCTTTTAACACTGCCGTCGTCCGCTGAAACGAGCAATCGTAATTAGGAAATTAAGACTTGATTAAGTATGAGATATACGAATTAAACACATATGATACGTTGCGATTGTTATCATGGGAATCCTTTTAATTATTTAACGTCATTCATTATCACGGACAAACATTGACGATTCGTTGCGATCGGCTATCATTAACCTAAGAAGTTTATAGAGGAGAACGTTCGAGAAATCACCTTTTAAACGTGCGAAGATATGCCGAGAAGTGAATTAGCGCGTAATTGACAGAATACATTTTCAGATACGTCTAAATGCAGAAAATCTTGTTTGAATTGTTTCTCGAAAAAGAGAAACATCAGAATAGCGTTCTTTAGGTTTGTACCAATAACTATTGATATTAGAATATAATTAACTATTGATATTATTGATACTAGAATTGATATTATAAATACTTGAATATCTCACGAAGATATCAAATATTCAAATCAGAATTTAGAGTTAAATCTGAATTCTTCAGTCATATACATGATACACGTGATATTATGTTAGCAATCACGATTTTACTTGAAGAACACACTCGCTCTAAATTAACTCTAAATAAGTCTGAGCATTTCACCGGCGACGAGTTTCAAATAACGATTATTGATGCGGACCCTAGACGTTTCAGCGATGATATCTCGATTCCCCTCTTTCATCTGATGTAACATTATAGGTATGAGTTTGAGTCACGGCGATATTGATACACTCACAACTATCCAAACAATAAGAACAACCGACGAGCGTGCACAGAATAATGAAGATACGGATGGAATCCGTCATTTGGAGCTGAAATTGCTACTCAAATGGGCGTTGTAAGCGTGAGACATATGCAGCTGACTACTAGCTGGCGTCTTCATCGGCTTACATACTACGCCCTCATCTGATAAACGTTATCTTTAAGCGTATCTAGCGATATCCCGCGTTCGAAATGAATCAGAGATCCCATTTCTCGCTCCCAAACGAGCGTTACCATTACCGTTGAGAACGGTGCTTTATAGGGAGGCATTAATTCTCATTTATTTAAGACACTTTATCTCTGATAGATAGAGAGAGAGATAGAGAAAATGTGTGTCATTTTTATTTCCGAGCGTGCCTTTGAGATGATTTATTTCAGTCGACGAAAGTATAATTCAAATAAAGCGACGCGTTTCGACTTGCAAACGCAATAAATTGTGATTCACAGAAGACATCGAGTTGAAGTACAGGAAACCGCGTCCCTCTCATGTCATGTTTCCTATTATTGTTTGTAAGAGATAAAAATTACACGAAACATGTTCTCTTTCTCTCTCTCTCTCTCTCTCTCTCTCTCTCTCTCTCTCTCTCTCTCTCTCTCTTGCATCTCGTGAATTTATGAATTTCTGCGGGACACGCCTGGCGACGAAGGTAAAGCTATGGAAGAAGTCCCGTCGATAAATCAAAGAGAGTAATAAATTAGACGAGAAAACGAGCGCGAGTGCTGCAACAATACGACGCCGTCGTAACGTGCATGCAGTTAATTTCACGTTGCGATTAGCCAACCTTTCATTCAACGAAAGTTCCTGCCATGATTGCAATAATTCTGCTAATTCAACCTCATCGGATTACCACGCGAATCTTCATTATCATTACGGTTACAATGTGTACCGGCGACCTTTCATGCTCACTTATACTCGCGCGCGCGCACAATTCTGTATGTGTAACCGCGTATATCGTCTAATTTACGTTGTGGGTGGCGAGCAGTTTCTTCTTTGTTCATCCTATCGACAATTCGCGTAAAACGCGAACGCGTTGCGGTTAAATGCTGATGCGGAAATTACGAGGAAATGCCGCGAGTATTCCTGTCTACATGTTGTTGTTGCTATTTAATAGACGGAAGGCGGGTCTCGATAAGTAATAAGTAATTCTTTCTAGATAATTAGACAAAATTTTGTACAAGTAAGAACGAAGCGATTGCAATCTTCGCTTCGTTGTACTTTCGTTTCTATATCGAAATGAATGCTTCCCGCTTTCGCATCGCTGGAAACTTCGTTTTAGTTTTATTTACAAGATTTCGGATAAGATAGTCGATAAGATGTATAGTCAGTTTTTCACCTCTTAAACTTTGGAACGCATTTGATATCTAATAGCAAAATTTGTTTTCTGAGAGTTACTACACTGAGAAAAAAATATCTAAGAAATAATAAATATTTATTTGGTAGGTACTAATGACTTTATTCATACCAATGTAATATATTTTTCAAATAAAAAATATATTTTCTTAAAAAATTTAAACTTTTTCATAGCTTTTCACTAATTTTTTTTTAATAGAATAAACGAAAAAAATTGTTTATTCTATTTAAATAAAAAAATTTAAATTCAAATAAATATGTTGTTAGCACCGAATAAATATTTACTATTTTTTAGATATTTTTTCTCTCTGTGTAAACAAGTTATGTCAGATACAAATGCGTTGTAAAATTGAAATAAAAGTGTTGTAATCTTTCTGCCATTGACTATATAACTCGCTCACGCTTTGCAATAAGAGCAAGAAAAAGAAAAGAAAAGAAAGGAAGAAGCATCGTTTATTATAAAAAAAAAAAAATACGAAAAAAAACTCTTTTTGAACAACAAACAATAATTAAATAAAGGGTATGTAAGAGTTCAAGCACAGCTGTTTTAGTGAAATAATATTAATATACATTAGTGACACCCCTCTCTTATGAGAAGATATTTTATTAACAAAGGAACCAAACACGTTTCAGTCTAAATTTACAGACCCTCCTCAGTGGTGAATTGAATATTACAATGAAATACAAAAATGTTTGTCAAAAAAATCGCAATTAAAAGGATGTCAATACATTTAAAATAATCGCAAACGGGAAACGGAGGTTACGCAATAAAAACTAATATTATATGTATATTAGTATTATTGCACTAAAACAACTGTGCTTGAACTTTTACATGCCCTTTATTTAATTATTGATCGTTTACTATGTACGTTTATTATATGCTGAGGGTATAAATCCCCTCAAGCGCTAAAAAACACAATAATAGAAGCAATTAACAATTAAAAATGAATAGAAATCTTCAAGTGCAAAGGACAATGTGAGTAAATTATGAAGTGTTCTAAGAAAGTTCTTAGTAAAGAAAACAAAAATAACTAGTACGGGATGATTATAAATAAATGAGAGAGAGAGAGAGGGAGAAGGGGAGAGGGAGAGAACATGTAAAAATGAAAGCTGTAAAAAGTGCTTGATAACGGCGTAGCATTACAAGTGCATCGCGTCTCGCTCGTCAAATTCGTCGGCAACTGCACTTTTTCACGGTCGCGCGTGCGATCGGATTCATCGGCGTCGCGGATCGCGCGTGCGAACAGGAGAGTCGGGAGAGAAAATTAACGCGCTGGTGGGAGAACGCGACAGAGAGCAAATGGGACGAGTAGTCGACACAGGCATTCGAATACTCAACAACGGCGCTCTGGACACACGCCAGTCGTTCGTCGTTGCCGATTGCCGATCAGACGCCAACCGATCGCGAGCGAGCCAGCCGAGCAACAGACGACAGTCTCGCTTTCCGAGCGGGAGATCGTGAGTCGAGCAGTACGACACGAGAAATTCGAAGAGAAGACAACACAGACCCGGCAATGAAGACGCACGTGGCTATGAGCGCGATCGCGCTGCTAGTCGCTCTTGTGGGCGCTAACAAAATCGGTGAGCTCGTGTATTACATTGTAAAAAAGAGAACACAATTGGAACAATTTTAGTCGAGTTAAATGAACTCAGTTTCAGGGTAGTGTACGGTGAACAAACTGTCCCAAATTCCTTCGGCAAAACTCTGGCGTTCCTTTCATTTTTGGTTTCGGCAAAACAAGCTCAGAATCCAGCTCAATCCAGAATCAAAGCTGACTCGACGTATTAGCGGTCGCGTTTATATCTCGTCTGATTCACTTAATCTTCCAACTAGAGGTGGAACGACTTGTATTATGTAGTTGGATGAACTTTTCCATGTTAAGATTTCACTGCCGACCGAATTTTGCAATTCAGATTCCTCGTGATTGTTGATTTGACCTGGTTTTTGCCCGATTCGTTTCGATTGCAATTTCCCCGCGCAGGAGTAACCCTGAGACTCGGTTCTTTTCATCCGACTTTATTCGGCATATTTCTTTTCTTCGCACTTTCTTTTCATATTAACAGAATTAACAGCCACGTTAATCGCATCTCGGAGCTTGCGAAGCGTGTTTCTTTCGATGGAGCGCCTCGGATTTTCTCTTTATGAAGCATGTGCGCTGGATATGATAATTACGAGAGGAACGGTAAACGTACGATGTTCGTGTTGCGGTGTAAACATCGTGTTGTGGCGATCGAAGCACGCATGACCTGTTCATCTCTCGTCATTTCCTCGACGTTTTTTCCCGAAGCTTCGCGCGTTAACTTTCACGAAAATAGCAATGTAATTAACGCTAATATGTATAATAATCGTATGCGCATAATTAATAATAATTAATCGCGCGGTCTTTAATCTTCGCTTTGTCATATACGCGCATATTTATCATCTGCAGTCGCGGAGTACATAAATATTTCTTCTGCTTCGAATATCGTTGGCAATATTATTTATCTTTTGCCTGACTTTTTCTATGAATGTACGAGTCTAGCACGTCGAATTCGTTTCTGATCGAATCGATTGTCGCAGGAATTAATTTGTCATCTCTTTCGAAGAAATGGATCGCGACGGGTTCGGCAACGGGATTGGAGAAGTTATTTTGTAAAAGTAATTTGTGTTGCTTCATTTGTTGAGAAAAATAATTCATTTCCATTATCGTTAATTATTTCGAAAAAAATTTGTCGTCGTTATCGTTTCTCAAAAAATAACTTGTTACGATTCTCGTTACTTTCTTTGCCAAGTTTTGAATATGTTTATTTTACAATTCGTTGCTACTCACAACGTGTAATTTACATGTGCGAAAGAATACACAAGAAAACACATTCTTGTTTGGAAAATATCTTTATTTTTGACATCTTTAAATGAGATTACATAGTCTTAAACGAAGATAAGTTACTTACATCGATACATTTTATATGATTCAAAGAATTCGAAGAAAAATATATTGCTATTATTAAAAAATAATCTTTATGAATGAAAAGTATAAAATATCGGATTGAGAATGTTTTTAAATATCGGAAAGGGATATCATAATAATCATTTTGTATTTCTTGTGAGACTGTTATAATATTCAAGTGGTGAAACATTGAAATTTATAACTTTAAAACTCTCTTCTGTTCTAACAAAAGTGTATATCGTTGTTTATACATGAAACACGATTTTTAATGATGCGTGATATGAAACGTGATTGTTAATTGGATTCTATTAGTCTTAAAAAGATACTAATTTTTTTCCTGTGTAATGATTCATTTGTTTTTCGGAAAATGGAATTGCGTTTCTGAAGAAAAATAACTTGCTAGACAGCACAAGATCTCCTGGGGATGTCTCAGGACGTAGAACGTTCTCAGAATGTCTTTAGGATGTCCTGTGGAGATCCGTGCTGTTTGAGTTATAACGGTAATGGTAAGTTATTTCCCATTCCTGTCTCCCATTATGCTTCGTTCCGCGAAATGGAGAATCTAATAACGAGAGCGCGATCGACGAAATATAAACGATCACATAATAAGTTATAACAATCAACGAAATAGAATTATATCCAGGTGTCCCGCGATTCGACAATACGCGTCCTTTTTGAAACGACCGATTCGATTGCAGATTTGTACATCCCGTGCGTAAAGACAGAAAATTGCACGAACATACCGTCGCTTCCGCCAGAAACGATTTGTCAAGAAGGATATTGCTTGTGTCCGAGTGACAAAGGCTTCGTTAATTGTTCGAGTATTAATCAGACGTTCATACATCAGACGAGAACACCAGGTGACACAACCGATTAAAAGCGACTCGATTGGCATCGAGATACTCGCTGTTCATTGAGTCGAGTGCAAATACGCGCGACTACACTTACTAAACTGGTGCTTTTCACAGGCCCTTTGGTCTACCGAACGTGCAAGCATAATCAGGATTGCAATTTTCAAGGCGGACTTTGTAACACCACCAATCATCAGTGCGTATGCTCAAAAGACTATGTGCCGTCCAGTGACAATCGTCACTGCGTCCAAAGTAAGCGCAAGAACAAACGCGCAAGACTTTTTGTTTGTGCTAAATTCAAAAATAATTTTCATGAATGAAAAGTACAAAATATCGGAATAAGAATATGATATTTTTAAATGTCGGAAAGGAATATCATAATAATTATTTCTTGTGAGATTATTATAATATTCAAATGGTAAAACGTTGTTGAAATTTAAAATTCTCTGTTCTAAAAGTATATCTTTAAAAGAGTATGTCGTTGTTTATACATGAAATATGATTTTTAATAATGTGAAACATGATTGTTAATTGGAATATTAGTCTTAAAAGGATACTCATTTTTTTCCTGTGTAATGATTACATTTGTTTCTCGAAAAATATTTTTGAATGTGAGAAAATTGAAGAGATATCGAAGAAGTTGCTCGATTTCAAACAATCTTGAGGTGTACTGTTGATTTATGTTGTTTCTATTCCAACAGAGGCTCAGTCGATCAATTCCTCCTGCACGGAAGACAATCAGTGTTTGGCGTTCTTGGCGAACACCACCTGTCGTCTTAATAAATGCCACTGCATAACTGGTTATCATTACGTGGACAGTGCGTGCTGGAGAATGGCAGGTAAGAAAAAGAAAAGAAGGAGGAAAAAGGAAGAGAGAGCCTTGTTTATTATTTATTGTAATATCATTAGGTTAATCAAATTCAGATAGCATAAACTATAATATTTCTGAAAAAAGCTTAAAAGACATTCTATCATAGATGTTTTTTAGAAATTTGTGTCGTCTGATTCAATCTTTTTGTTTTTTTCGACGGTAAGTCGATCTTCTACAATGAAGATATATAAATGCGTCAAAATATTGGCAATCATAAACTACAACAGCGATTACTTGCTTGCTGAATAATCTCTTTTCATTGCACTCATATAATAAATTCAAATTTGACCCAGAAATTGAACTGGACTTTTTGACTCCTAATATATTATACAGAGATTATAATTGCAGATACTCTTTCCTTCCCTTTTTCATACTTCACTGATTCAGTCGTGGTTTGCTCGCAACGTGATCTAATAGAAAAGAAACGTGTTTAAATTTTCTCGTCAGATGGGATAATCTATTGATAACCACGCAATAATTTCTACGACACGTTCCTCGCGTTTGCAGGGTACGGACAACCTTGTACAAAAAATCAAGAGTGCTCGCACATCGAGGGCGCAATCTGCACGGACAATATGACGTGTGAATGCGGTGCCGAGACTGTGTTGAGCAAGGACGGCAAAAAGTGTCTGGCTGCTGCGCGAAACATTCGGGATGAATGTACGGAATCGGTGCAGTGTGAGACATTTGAACACTCGTCGTGCATCGAGAACATGTGCCAGTGTTCGGAGGGTTATCATTACGAACACAGCATGACAAGATGTTTCCTTAATAGAGGTACTCTCTCTTTCATTTCTATCACTTGAATTTGCAATTGACTTTTCGCTTAAAATCACTCGTTGTTTTCCTCGTTTTTTTATTTATTTATTTTTTTAATTGACAAATTTTCCTCTTTGTGTGCTCGTCAGAATTTTTAAGAAATTAATTTTTAGCATTACACGCGCTTTATCGTATTGTTAAGGAGTTAAGTTTTTGTGTTTAAATTATATTGCTAGAAAAACGCAAGAAAGAAAATGCCGCTTATGATAGATTGTATGGTTTATGTATTTTTTTCCCAGAGCTCGACGCCGAGTGCGCAAATAATTACGAGTGTTACCAGGTCGAGGATTACAAGAGTGATCCGCCGATCAGATCTCTGATATGCGAAGCTAATAAATGCACGTGCGCTGAAAATTACGTCAGGAAGGATAACGTGTGCGCGAACGGCAGTAAGTAAAAATGGCACTTTTTTGTAATGCATAAAGGACCAAAATTAAAAGAAGGATCGGACAATCGAAAAATATTATTAGGTCATTTTATTCGCAACAGTTTAATAATGTTTCTGTGTTATCTAATACACGCGATTTGCCCGACTGAAACGATGCATTTTGACTTCGTTTGTTTAAAAAATTCTTACCTTTCGTGATTTTTATTTGCAGGCTCTCTGATCTTTGCATCTTTTCCAGTAATAACTCTGATAGTGCTGGTTTGGGTTAACCTATGATAAAGTATTGTTAAGTACAATTTTTTCAAGGAAAAAAACTGTTATATTACTATAAGTCAATGCGATTTTGTTTGTGCGTTTATGTTTTGTTGTATGCGTTTGTAAGGAAAACTCGTCCAAGTGTAGAAATCGACGGATCGTGGACGAGTGGTATGTTCAGGGTGAAATATTCGCGGCCTCGTTTATCGCTGTTTGCGATTATACGTAGTACCGTGACTATTCTAACGAAATTCACGAGTACTCCAGAAAGAGATTCGTGTATTTCCCATGAATATTATAAATATTACGTTATAACGTATTCGTGCGTTAAAACGTCTCGCGAATCGTGGGATGCGTGTAATTGCGCAAGTTTTTCTGACGGAATTGTGTACATATCTGTATACAACGTTGTCGTGTGATAACGTTGCACAATTGAGGCCGCAAAATTCAAAGCATCAGGAGACATATCAATCTTTCGACATATAAAACACCGGCCATGAAATTCGCTTTTTAAGTTCAACAGGAGCAAAGCTCTAACGCAAAAGATCAATCACAGATCTTTTTGTAATTTGTAGCAACTGTCTTTAGCATAGCTACCCAAACAGCACAAATTACTAAAAGATGTTTTAAAGACGTTCAAGAGACGTTTAAAAAAAATAGAACGTCTTTAAAATATCTTTTAGTAGATTGTGTTGTCTGGATAAATTTCACATAAAGAGAGAGATGAAAATAATAAGATGTCAAGTTAACAATTTACACAACTTCTCGGTTTATCCGACAAAGGTGTAGTGCAATATTTTGTATAATGTTTAACCTATTAACAATCCGTCGCTATTGATTTTTGCATCGAAACAAAAGCCTGTTGACCTTTATGGTCATAATTATATATTTTTTTTCAATACGGTTAAAACACTTCGTTTCTTGAAGCAATTTGGAGCGCGGACGATGATCCAACGAGAGAACTTCTCGGAATTAATCAGAAGCAAATTTTCCCGTTGGACCATCGGCTGCCTTCTGAACTGCATAGAGAAAAAGTGTCCAAACCATCTTGAAATCAAACGCACAAGAGTGTGAAGAGAAAATATCCGGAGGAACGGGAAATTGAGGAGACGAACATACGATGGTGTCATCTGAATTTCGACAAAAGATGATGACATTGTCGTTGCGTTATTCGGATTTGAATAAACCATCTTTGCCATAGTCGTGCGTTTCGCGCAGTCTAGAAATATTCTCGTGACTTTTTCTCGAACATCGCGAAGGAAAGGAACATCGCATTTCCCATGGTTTTCACTCTTCATCGTCGAACTAGGAGAAGAACCGGCGCGCAAGATTGACGTTGCTGTTGGCTCGACACGTTTTTTCACAAAAGCGTTCGCTAAAAAGTGCAGACGCGACGAAAAGGTAGCGCGCAAACGGGACGTCATTACAGTGTTTCACGCCACTGTAATTGTGCAGCAAAACGCTTTCGCGGTGAAGGCGAGGGCTCGAAACTAGACGCACTGAAGTGTGTTTAAAGCCTTCTTCTCGCTTGCATTTAATTAACGCGGTCATTAAAATGCAGCCGCTCGTGTCCACGGTGAAACTACTGCTTCTTCTTAGAGCAACGCAAGCCACATAAAATTCGCGAACGCAAAACTATCATGCGTCTCTCTTTGTCGTTCGGAGCGCCTGTTTTTCTCTCTGCTCCTCTTTCGAATCTTTTACAACCAACGAGCGTACCTTTTAGCTATAAGTATTTTATTGTAAAGTTATGTATCTAAAAAAATACACATTGTACTTTTTATCTCGTATTGTTAAATCCACGTCGTAATGCGCGAATATCTACACACGTGACGATCAATTTTTATTGTACTGATTGTTTTTTTTTTCGTGGATTATTGTTCAACGCGATCGAACAATATTACATCGCTACACCCACCGACGATATACACAAAAGTCGCGTGCGTCACCTTCAGCTTCGCGTCGCTTCCCAGAAATGTCCAAATCACAAATGTCCAAAATCGGATCATAAGACGTCTTTAGGACATCTTTAAGACATCTTTAAGACAATACCTTATAAACTTGTCTTAAAGATGACTTAAAGATATTTTAAAGACGTCTTATGACCCGATTTTGGATTGTGCTGTCTGAATTTTGACTGTCGGACACTTTTTAACAGTCACAGACGGCACAAATTATTAAAAGGTGTCTTAAAGGTGTCCAAAAGCCATCTAAAAAAAATAGAACGTCTTTTGATTGCCTTTAAGACATCTTTTAGAAGATTGTACTGTCTAAAGCGTTTCCTATTCCGAGATATTTTTAAATAGCGTCGACTAAGTGAGACCTCAGTCGAGATTCGCGATTGCTCTGCGTGCATTTCGAGCGAAAAGAAACACACGGAGGGAAAAAGATATGGCGCGTATGGCTAGAAATATTTAGTTTTGCGAGCGGCATAATTTCATCATTCCTTTTATCTTTACGTAATGATGATGTGCATGGTTAATATGACTCTGTTATTTTGAGAGCCACATTAATATAGTTGCGCGTGATCTGATTGTGATGACTAGAAATCGGTTGAGGTAACATCAGACGATTGACTATGAATGAACCATGGAGCAATCAGATTTTGTCTGATACTGCTGCAACGCCAGTAACTCAGCAATTGCTCCGTGGTTACAACAACCGTATAATCAGTTGTTTCGTATTTTACTATTGAATCTGGTTGGCATAACCAGATTTATGTATAGGCCAACTATAGTGTTTTTCTATGTACCGACATGACGATAACGACGACGACATGGTGACACATCCGACTAAAAGAGTATCTTACGAAAGGCGGGATTCATTGTCACGATATTACGCAACTTGCCATTTGCTAACGGAAGTTGAAATCTGACAGTCGCTTCACCTTCGACCAACCCATCCATCTTCTAGCGTGTATTTTCGGCGATAAATAAGAACTATTGAGAAGGAAATTATCAGTTAACGGACGCAACGCGAATAAGAAAATACAAGTTGAGAAGATCAAGGAGTTTACATGGAAAAAAAACTTGATTGAATTAATCGGAATTCAAGATATAACCAGAGTGTTTGGTGAGATATAAACGAATCATATTTTTGGTTAAAGTACCAGACAAGTTTAGTTACTTCAATCAAACTAAACAAAATTATATTTACATTTCTTATTAGAAATTCTATTAGTTTTTTAACTGAAAATTGTTTCTTAAGATGTTAGTATATAATTATACATTGCTTGAAATTTAATTGATTTGATGTTATATAGTATTTGGAGAATTTGCCTTTTTTCTTGATGGAATTTGAGAATCCAGAACCTTTGGATTGTGAATCGTCTATCTACATGCTACGCCACCAATTTGACAGATCCATTATACATTTTCTAGCTGTGTTGTAATCAGCGTTGAGTATCAGAATATGTCATTATTATAATTAGAAGTTCTACTTAGTTGAACCAACAGACGTTGACCAACCATGCTTTCTAGTTATAATAAGCAGACACTTAGATGTTGTACAACTCGATCAGCATTAACTAAATTCTGAACGTTGTAAAACCTAAATGTGTTCTGGTTGGCTGCTAGAATATTTTATTATAATAACCAGAAATTCTGTTTCAGTTCAACTGAGTCTTGTTTAACCAAACATGTCATGTTGATCCAACTGAGATTGTTTTTTTCTGTGTAGACGTTTCGGGACAGTGAATTTTCGTCTGACTCTTCCGTCGTCTGTTTTTCCTTCGTGGTGTTGCTGCCGAAGAACGAACGTATGACTCGTCGATGAGAGATGGCGAGCGAGCCGAAGAGCCTGCCGAGAAGGAGTCCCGCGGTGAGGGAGCTGCGAACCGTTGTGCTGTCAATCGCACTGTTTCGCCGCGCGGAGTGCAGTCGCCGGCGCGCACGGCTCGAGCGAGCATTCGTTTCGCAGGTGTGAGTGCGTAGATTCGAGTGTTAATCGGATTCGAATCCGAGTTGAGTCGCGTGCGAGTCTGCGGAAACAAACGCGCTCTTGCGACACGGCAAAGGAGAGAAAAGCGACGAAAACCGCGTTCAAAGCTGAACTGTGTTCACAGAGGATGGATCGATATTGTGTTGTGCTTTATGCGGAATTGAATTCCGAGCGAGCGAGCAGGTGTCGAGAAGCATTTGCTGCGCGCGGATTAAATTAATTGTTCGGGATGAAACTGTTGATCGGATGAAAATCAACGCGCGCGAAAAACCCGTCACGATATTCACATTCGCATAATCATACGAGAGCACATCTTGTCGCAAACAACGTGCACTGCAACGTACGTTTGTTGTTTTAGCACAATCATCAAGTTTGACTTGAAATGGGAGCCGTGAAATTGAATTCGCGCCGATGAGATTTTTCTCATTTCGTTGTTGAGTGCCCTGCGCGTTTCTAACGCGAGAGATCACGGAGGCGTAGCGAGGGAATGTTTTAAAGATAGCGTATATTTTTTATGACCCAGTAATCTTCTCCTTTCTTTCTTTTCCCTTCGTGAAGAATTGCGAACACCGCGCGCCGCTAGTCGTGGAGACCGGATCTACGCTCCTGGTTCTCACAGTTAGGTGAATGCCGGAGTAGAAAGAACCCGCTCATAATTAAGGAACAAAGGGACGCAGTTTCCTTCGCTCGTCTGTTCTTTCGATTTAACAATGTGCTTTACAACACGCGCCCCCGACGAAGCTCGGAAATTTGCGCAATCCGAGCTCTTACGGTGCAAATAACAACACCGGACATCGTTAAGTCGACGTGCACGCGCACGCGCGAAATCTATCATCGCTAATTGCGTTCCGCTAACACTGCAAATCCAAGTGTGCCATTCTGACTGAATCCCTCTTTACACGTTTCTTACCATTTCTCAGTCATTTAACACGTTTAAACGTATCAGACTATGATTTATATGTCTTGAACGTATAAATCATGTCGAATGACGTGACTTAAAATCACAAGAACGTGTGAAAAGAGCTTCAGCTAGATTACACGCTTAAAAATAACATACTTGGATTTGTGCAGTGAAGCGCCGTCGCGTTATCAAGGAAACTAGTTCCTCCTTGAGTTATGCTTCGTGATCTCAACGTCTGGTGTAATTCGTTCGCCTTTCTTCAAATGTATTCTCGTTGTCTCACGATATATAATAGTCGCGCTGCAGTTAAAACGCGTGCGACAGTAAAAACAATTTAGACACAATAAAGTTGGGGGCTCACCGAACTGTTAAAATTGAGAGTCATCACTGTGCGTGACGAGTAATTCAATTATTATTATCATTAATCATTAATTATTATTAATAATTATTATTAGTGTTATTATTATTTATTATTTATTATTATTTTTATTGTTATTATTTATTATTATTTATTAGTATTCCTAAGATTCCTGGTCTCTTGCCGCGGTTACCTTGATTTATATGATGTCAGGAGCGAGAAAATAAAATACAAATAATACATAAAAATTCTTGTAAAATACGTTGAAAAAATAAAATGATACGTTTGTAAAAATTCACGTAATAAATTTATGAGAGAAGTTAAAGAGAGAAAGGTTTGCGTGTCATATTAATTTTACAGTTATTAATTGGTCGAACAAAAAAATATTCGGACTATTTGCAAATCTGTACTTAATCGATTGCAAGTGTCATTTCATAGATATATCTTATTTCAACGTATTTTGCGAAACATTTTGCATATATTTTCCCGCTTCTCTAACATTATCGACGAAAAGAGTCCCGCGGCTAAGGGAGCCAGAGGAACTTCGATTAAATTACATTATTATCGCTTGAGTTCGTTGGTAATGACACTCAGTTCTGACAGCTTGGTGAGTTCACGACTTCATTGTGCCTGAACTGTTTTGCAAGTCGCTGTGCAAATTCAAGGAATTGCACGACGGGATATATCGCGTCGTGCGAACTATTTTCGCTAAGTACGGCACTGTTGACACATAACAATGGCTTCTGCTGTTATATATGTAGGTACTCCGTGTTGCGCAACACGAATCGAAACTATAGAAACGCAGGGCGCTAAACTCGCTCTCGTCGTCGATCGGCCTTCGAGCATTCACGGGATCGTCATTGAAATCCCGAAGCGGTGAACGTCGCCCACGAGTTTTGCGTGTCGAGAGGCTCCCGGCGATCGAAGACTTATTCAAATCTCATCCGAGTTTCTTTTTTTTACGGCTCCCCTTCATATTTGAGGCGAACAAATATAGACACGGAAGTAGCATTAGCATACAACGGGATAAAATAAGGCGAAGAGTATTATTAGTACACCATCGGATTTTTAAGGGAAGATAGAAAGATAAATAGATAGATAGAAAGATAGATAGAAAGATAAATATCTAGAGATGAGAATGAGAATGCGTCGAATTTAACTCATTAAGGGCCATGATTATTTCACAAGCATTTCTCTCATATTAACATCGGAACTGTTTTGTTTGAAGACATAGATACAAGTAGGAGAAATCAGCTACTGAAAATACAGAGAAGAATACAATTATACATAAACATGTTGATGTATAATTGAATACCATGATGGTCACTGGTGATTTGCGTAATGATGCTAATTAAAATACTAGTGAAGTTAAGTTACTTATGAGATATGACTAATTACATTTGAGATATCGGTTGTACGGTCAATAGACAGCCAATGAAGCGAGATAAGGGGCACGCGCGTCTCGAATTACATTGATTTACCGTGTCTTTGGTGATTGAATCACCGGCTAACACATTAACTGCCGTGAGAGTCACCAATAACCGTCACTATATCGCAATGTCTCAGTAATTTATGTCTGTGTAAAATGTAATCAACTACGTATAACAAATTGGGTATATAACCATTCAAATGAAATAAATTGAAATAATCATAATAAATAAATTGAAATCAAATAAAATAAATTGATAAACATACGCATTGCGAATTTATTTATTGTCTTTAGTATAATTTAGATTTTATAAAAAAAAACTGTCAAAAACGATCTCTAATAAAATCTAATAAAAATTTTTATTTTATTTAAAATCTAAAATTTTTCAAAAACCGTGTAAAAATGATTATAACAAAAAGACCTAAAAATTATATAAAAAAATAATTAACTGTGTTATATTTCAAAAGTTCACGTTGCTTAAAGATACATTTTAAGAAAACTTAACAAAAGAAACATATAAAAACGATAAATGAAATGATGTTATTTCAAAAAATTTATTTTGCACGAAAATAAAAATATAAAATTACTAATAATTTTTTAACAATATCTAACAAGTATAGAATAGAGTTAATTGAAAATTATCCAGTCATCATTTTCAATTTTTGTCCAATTAAAAGGTAATGAGAAATATTGTTATATAAAAAAGAATCTTTGGTAATTTAGATTTTTGTTGAGCATTGAAATAATGAGTGGAAATCAGCATGGCAGTCGTGTTAAACTTTTGTATAATCAATGAAAATTAATTTCACGGCAATCGATGGATCGATCAAGCGATTTTATCTGATAAAAAGGGAGCTTCCTGTAAATAAGACACTGGCTATTAATAGGTTAAAAGTTCCATCGCGTTCACGAAAGACTTCCACGACGGAAGGAGTCAATTTTGGGCGTAAATCTTGATGCAAATATCCGTCGTTCGATTAATCATTCCTGCAGGAGTGCCGCATTATACACGAATACTAGATTTGCATGTCTCGATGACGTCGGTTCTCCGTCAGGTTTTACCTCGATATGCGCTTGATTCTGATTTAAGTTGAACGGGACATGGAGGTCCCTTCCGGGCGATTTAGCATCTGTTGCGAACGCGGCGACGACGATGACGACCGGACACGCAAGACTCATTTGCAACGATTACTGCCGATGAATGCGCGATATTTGAAGTTAATGTAACGAAAACGTCGTGTGCTTTCAACGGGACGTCTCCGACTTGCCGTTGCTGGAAATCGACGAAACAAGTCGTCGCCATAGCGACGAACTCCTTGCAAATTGGGACATTTGTGGCTATCCAAACAATACAAATCTAAAAAAGAAGTGAGATGTCTTTTAGATCTATCTAAGGACAGTATTTACAAACTCTGAGAGAAAAGTATCTAAAAAAAGGACATATATTCGACGAGTACTAATAACATATATATCTAAATTTAAATTCTTTATTTTATTTTATTCAAATAGGATAAAAAAAGCAATTACTTTTATGAAAAGCTAAAGCTTTAAGAAACAAAAAAATATTTTTTCTTAAGAAAATTTTCTGTAGAAATTTTTTCTGTAGAAATGTATATATTAATGTAAGAGTAAATATGTTGTTAGTATACTCACCCCGAATAAATGTGTTTTATTTCTTAGATATTTTTCCTCATAGTGTTTTTAGAATCGTTTTTAGTTTATCTCAAAATGTCTTACACCGAAAGAAAAATATTTGAAAATTTATTTGTGCAATAAAAGTTTACAGAAATAAACTTTATATCTTACAAATGAATTTTCAAGTATTTTTCTCAATGTAAAAGCCATATTATTAACTGTATAGTGTCTTAAGATGAACTTTAGACGATATTAAATATGAGACCGGACTATGAATATCGCATTAAAACATCTCTTGTGTCGTCTGGGTAGATGCAGTCACACGATAATTAACAAACGTGTGACGCTCGTGTTGCACAATTTTAGTTTAGACGCAAAAGGAAAAAAATACATCCTCCTAATTTCTAAATTTCTCGACGTAGAATCTTATTCAAATGGCAATATCTTTATTCGAAACGATAGTCACGAAAAGTGGCAGTATCTTCATTTGAAACGATAGTGAAGGTATTGCCGCTCAAAATCACAAGACTATATGTTTCACTCAAGCTTAGAATGAATGCTAACTCCATATGAGTGAATGTTTCAGTTAAAATGAATATGTTTCTGTGATCGTAGAGCACATTAGATCCGCTTTTCAATTTCGAATAAAGATATTCACTTGACAATTAAGAGTGAAGATTTTACATTATATAAATGAAAAGTCACTTGAATTCGAGTGAATCGAATGATCACCCATTTTTTCGAATGAGATTTTACTCCAAGAAATTTAGAGATTAAATCACGAGCGAGAAGAAACTTCGTTTAGCTGAAAATTAACTCATTGAGAAAATTAATTGCGAAAGTTAATTGGAACTTCGCTAAAATGAAATATCGGAAAACTTTCCGATTTAGAATTTGAAAGATTTCGTCTTAAATAGACACGATCTCTTGGATGAACGAAGAAGAGAGACGGATACGTCTCGGAAAATCCGATGTATGATTGCGCGGGATACGCCTCGACGATAACGGCGTATTCGAAGCTATACATATTCCTTGTTCACGATTGCGCAACGAGCGTGGAAACAATGAGAGCATCGTCGTGAGCCGAACGGAACCGTCGATCGTGACGCGGCGACCTTCGAGCGATCGGACCGGCCGATCTCGTGCCCGGGACCGAAAATGACAATAAGTCGGCCGGTGGTGATGAAACGTTTCGGACGCGGCGTTCATTCGCCGTCTCGAGGATGACGAAGACGTGGACGGTAAGCGGCATCCCGGGGCTCCTCGTCCTCGTACCCGTTACCGTCTGCGCGACGATCACCTACGTCAACCAGGACTCGTCGCGATGCAACGATCGCAGTAATAGTAAGATTAGTATAAGTTCTCATGTGGAGTGTCTTCATAAGAAGGTATTCCAAGAAACATCTGAAGGATATCTGAAAATCGGAAAATTTATAAGGAAGGTCAGAACGATTATTCTACACTGAGAAAGGAATACCTGAAAATACTTGTGGGATATAAAGTTTATTAAAAATAAATAAATGCGCTCGAAATAAATTTTTATCTCACATAAATTTTTAAGTATTTTTTTCTTAATGTAAAGCTCTTTTACATTGAGGAAAAAATTTTTTAATTTATTTGTGAGATATAAAATTTAATTTAATTTAAATGTAAAATAAATTTTTATCTTGCAAATAAATATTTAAATAAGTGCTTTTCTCGGTATATATTTTTAATCACGAGAAATGTCAAAAGAAATATTAACAGCCAATGAGAGCTATCGTAGATTGATAATTGCATGGAGAAAAAATCTAATTATGTTAACGTAAAGTTTAATTTTAATGAACGAACCAACGTGTTTTGGTTAAAGAATACAGAATTTTTTATTTTATGACTCAAATTTGGTTCTGAGGAACAAAATTCTATTTTCTTCAATTAAAACACGTTAGTTGATTTATTGCAACAAAACTTCCCAAACAACATAATGTCGGGACGTCTTAAAGATAATCTTTAAGACGTCTTAAAGACATTTATACGTAAATTGTCTAAAAGACACCTTAAAGATGATCTTATGTTCCGATTTTAGACATTATGTTGTCTGGATTTCATCTCTAGGAATAAATAATTAATTAATGGCTGGAGTAATAGATACTTTTTGCAATGCGTTGAAAGGAATCCTAAACTTTTAAGCATTTTGCGAAATTGTAAATTAACAATATCGACGAAATATATTTGCATATAATGAGAAAAAAATACTTGAAAATTTAACTACGGGATATAAAATTTACTTACAGAAATTAATTTCATATATCACAAATAAATTTTCAAGTATTTTTTTTTAGTGCGAAAATATACAGATATTGAAGAGAGAACAAAAGAGTTTTGGAAATCCCTCTCGACTCGATCTCTCGCTTTGTCACGACAATTCGAGAGACAAGGCAAGACGCTTCACGTTACAAATAGAGCGGATATTTTTCAGAGAGTTTTGCACAGTGTCAATACGACGTCGATTGTATAGCGAACGCGTACTGCCGGAATCAACAGACCTGCTGGTGCAAAGAGAATCACGTCCCGTTCAAGAGCGACAACATTTATAAATGTTTAAGAGGTATATCTTCTTTTCATTTTGTGTGCCCTTCACGAACGTAATGTTAATATATTGATTAAATCTCAGACGGGCGGGAAAATACACATGTTCGATGAAATAGAAATAATAAAAAGAGGGAAAGTGCTGAGACAAGATAAAGGGCGTACGTAATTAGCCGGACACATTTGGCAGCGATGTCATCGACCTCGAAAAACGAGATTCCATGGAGATACTCGTTCATTCCTATACCTATCCGCTCCTTTCTCACGATCCCGTCTCACCTGGAGCGTGTCGTTCGTTGTGCTCGTTGAGCCGACAAAGATCACGAATAATTTCTGTGAATGAGGTAGAACGCGTGAATCAGTGCTTAATACAATTCGCTCGACACATGAACAATCGTGCGTGTAATCGCCGACTTGATCAAATTATGAAAACAGCGAGATCTCGACTTGCCAAATTCGTCTGAAATTCTATTGTCAAAATCAAGAATCGCTAAGCATTGCATTATAAGCATTGTATTTCGTGCATTAAGCATAATATTGGACGAAAAGAAATTATTCTTTGTCACATAAGTGCTTTTCTTATTGTCCAAAAACATTTACAATAAAATTCATGTGGCTAAATAATTATTAAATTGTGTAATCAGTTATTTTGTATAAGTCGTGTCTGAAGCAACGTTGAATCGAATTATAAATGATACCTTTGAGAAAACTTTTATTCAGAATTTATTATTTTTTAGTTACTAGAAAATTTTTTGGAGCTGAAATTAAATACATTTTTCGCGAGGGTAACGCGAGAATACGTATTTTGTAAACTTTAAGTACAATTTCATTCAAGAAGAGTGACAACCGAGTCATACCGAATTTGACCAACTTTTCACTAATATAAAATGAACGTTTTGTTACTGGAAATTCATTGTAATCGAAACTCATATACTGAGAGAAAAAAATATCTAAAAAATAAGAAATACTTATTCGATGGGTACTAATAACATATTTACTTGTACCGACACACACACATACTTTGTGAAGAAATTTCTAACATACATATTTTGAGAAAAAATTTCTAATATACATTTTGAAATGAAATTTACTTCAAATGAGAAAATATGTATTTTCCTAAAATGTTGCTTTTCAGGAAAACAATCGTTTATTCTGTTTAAACAAAAAATTTAGATTTAAATAAAATATTACAATGTTATTAATACTTACTGAATAAGTATTTTTTAATTTTTTAGATATTTTTTTTCGGTATATGAATCAAGAGTTCATTTTGGATTTGAGTTAAACATTCAGTCTTGCAATTCCGAGTGGCGATGTTTCCATTATCTTTTCGAATAAAATTTGAATTAGAGAAATTTAAGGAGTTACGAACGAGCGAAATTAGGGCGATTACAATGATCGATTAAGGAAACGTAATTTCAACAGTGGCCACCTCCATCGGCGATCCCTGCGAGGAGGATATCCAGTGTCAATTTACATTTACACCGCTGTCGGAATGTCGGGAAGGTACTTGTCAATGCGCCCACGGTTCCCACTTCGTCGAGGGAAGGTGCTACGAGTTAGTCGGTGAGTGCTTCCCCTGAGAAATATCCCAAGCCGCGTTAGCTACGACCCCGCCATTATGCATATTTATGGGCGAAATAAATATCTCGGAGTGATAAGTAATATAATGAGAAGAAACACGACGTGCACTGAGAGGAAAAGTATCTAAGAAATATTAAATATTTATTCGATGAATACTCTTTTTAATAAGATATTTACTTATATTAACATAAAGTGTATTTTAAGGAACAAAATGTACATTTTTAAAACTTTAGCTTTTCATAAAAGCAACTATTTATTTTATTTAAATAAAAAAATTAAATTTAGGTACATGTTATTTTTGTACCTGAATAAATATTTTTTTATATTGAGAAAAAAATACTTGAAAATTTATTTATACGATATAAAGTTTATCCACAGAAATAAATTTTATTTTACAAAAATAGAATACTATTTATATATTTTACTAATATATATTTCACAATTAAATTTCAAGTATTTTTTTCTTAATGCAATATAGAGAGTTTGCTCGTTAGCCGCGTACGCTGAAGAAAGTTTCAGAACAATCATTTATAATGAGATATAATACAGCTCATTTTCTATCATTATTTACATTACATATAAATTGCCGGTGTTTTAACGACATAACGACAATACATTTGATTTGTACAAACATATTTTTCTTCGAGCGCGAGAAAGCCGCTGGAACTTTAAATTAACATACACAGTCGACTTACATTAATTATAACATTGTTTTCCATTCAATCAGGTCTGGGAAAACGCTGTCGGTCGCATCGCAATTGCTACGTCAAGAATACTTTCTGCGATTACGGTTTCTGCACGTGCGGTCTGCGGTACCACCCGAATCCCGACAACAGCAGCTGTCTATTGAGCGCCAGTAAGCATAAACATGATCTCATTAAAGAAATTAAAGAAATATTTCGGTCAGTCGCAGATACAGTAAACACTTAATTTACGCTGACAACATTAATGCACATCCGTGCTTTCAGTGTTGGGCGAGCGTTGCAACCACGACTACGAGTGCATCGTGGAGAATTCCAAGTGCATACAGAACAAATGCGACTGCAAAGTGGATCACGTGCTGGCCGAAGATGATCGGCGATGTCGGAAAGCCGCTTCCAAGATCGGCCAAGAGTGCGAGCAACAATCCCAGTGTCAGCTGTTCCTCAAGTACAGTCAGTGCGGCGTAAACAACACGTGCGATTGCGTCGTGGGTTCACATAAACGCGGGTTCCAATGTTTCGTCGATGTCGGCGAGTACTTGAATTACCCTCGCTCCTACACACTTGCATTTAGCGCTAAATATGATTACTCGATTTCGAGATTAACATTAAAATTATTTCATGTTTCCGAGAACAAAAGAAAAAAAAAAGAAATCGGCAAATTCACGCCGATTTGTTAATTTAGTATATTCGATTAATTGTAGTTTTAATAATTTATTTTTATAAAAAGTCGGAAAATCGTGTTCAGTGCTGAAATGTAAAGTCAAAGAGTCGATTCGACTTTCTAGACAAATTTCATTCAATCTTTCTGACTAAAATTACTATTGTAATAATTTTTTACCACAGTAATATCGTTCTTAAATGAGACGATAATAAAACCATCTCTTTCTACCCAGAGAAAAAACATCTAAAACATTTATTTGTAGAATATAAAGTTTATTTCTGCGTGTGTGTGTGAAATATAAACTTTATATATTATATAAATAAAGTTTGCTTCTGTAAAATAAATTTTATTTATTTTAAGTTTATATTTATTTATATTTATATCTATAACATTCCTAAAAATTTCACACAAATAAACTTTGTATCCCAGGAATAAATTTTCAAGTATTTTTTCTCAATCTACAAGTCGGTCAAAGAAGATACTCAAGGGTCGAATTGAATTTTTTGACAAGTTCAACATAAGTACGGACGTCAGATGCAAATTTCGTTTTTCGTTTGGGAATAATTGGCAAAAATTTCGCGTTGCAGAACTGGGCGGTCATTGTGAGACTCATCACCATTGTATCACGGGAAGTTACAAGGACTCCAATTCGTCCGGAAAGTCAAAGGTGGACTGCGTGAATGGTACGGAAACGCTCATTAAATAAACTCGCGGAAAACTACAATTTATTTCTTGGCGACGTTCAAACAACGCGAAATCGTTTGTTCATAGGTTTCTGCGCTTGCAGCGAGGGCTACACGTTAACGGAGGAGCTACAGGATTGCGTTCAATTCAGCGACAATGGTAAATATCAATTTTCTCAAAATAACAATGGTAAATATTAATTTTCTTAAAATAACAATTTTCTCAAAGCGACAATAATAAATATCAATTATTAGTCGCATCGGCTATAATTAAGTTGTGAAACTATATATGATATCTCGACAGGCGCAGCAAGGTGGCAAACGTACGGAATATTCCCAATCATCGTCCTTATCGCGAGATTACTCGTACGTTAAAGCTGAAGAATAATTTGTGTCCGAGAACAAAAGAAAAAAAAAAGAAACCGGCAAACTCACGCCGATTTGTTAATTTAGTATATTCGATTAATCGTAGTTTTAATAATTTATCCGTTACATATAGAGATACACATATGTGTCTCTATTATTATTTATTGAAATAATTCGCGCTTAATTAATGCAGAGTTGACATTTTAATTAGCAACTATGTAAGGCAGCCAAAGAGAATCGCCGCTTTTTCTCAGAATTGAGGAAATAGTATGTCTATTCAAATCGATGTATGCACATTTGTTTGCACAATGACTTGCTAACATCGATTACCGCGCAAGCTTATGAGTAGTTCACAACGATGATCATATATAATGTCCTTTTAATTAAAAAAAAAAAACATGTACAAATCGTTGTGCAAATAAGCATACACTTGATCGTGTGATATCGTCGTCGACACCAATACTAGTTTATCATGATCGATACAGCTTGACGTATAACGTAACGTTATAACATACGTACTCATTACAATCAGTCACTGACTAGGATACACGCAAACAAATCGTCACTCAATCTCCGCACATCATTGTATAACGATTATACACAATTCCATTGCTGTGTTCTAGAAATAATATATACATACACATCATTTAATTGTTCTATATATACACGGCGTCTTTTATAAGCGTAAAATTAATTATGACATTCTGGGGCGCATATACGCCCGCGTTTCACGTAACACGTTTATAGTCATCCTTAATCATATCACTAGCTTTCTCGGCGATCATGTACGCCGGTGCGTTCGTGTGACCGGCGATTAGCGTCGGCATCACGCTGGTGTCCACGACTCTGAGACCGTTGACGCCATGTACTCGCAACCTGTGATCCACCACGCCCGAGTCCTGCCTCGTGCCCATTTTACACGTGCCGGCGAAGTGACCTAGAGTCGTGCTCACGTGACGCGCCACGCAAGCCCAGTACTCGTCGCTGTTGAAAGCGATGTGCTTGCATCCTGGAAACTGTACTGGCAGTAGGGTGGCGTTGAAACGTTTCATTGCTTTCGTGGAAGCCACCTCGATCGCCTATTACGTGATTTAACTTATAAGCATCATAATCACACTCTGCAGTGACTTGCAGATAAAAGGATTATGAATATATTCATATCTGAAATAATTTTAATTGCGATGTTCCAAAGTACTAATATTCTAGAAGTAATCTAGTATAGAAGTATTCTAGAAGTAATTCTAGAAGAAATTAGTAATTAAAGTGATTAAAGAGAAAAATCTACGGACGATTTTCCTAAAAGAAGCTCGTAAAATTTTTCTTCTATGGACGAATGAATAATGAATAGTGAATCGAGGAAACTGTAAGATATCCAAATGAATAATTACCTTCTTTATACCTCGCACCATAGTGTTCAGATCGTCCTCGTGGTCGTAATAATTGATTTCCAGAACTGGCCAGTGAAATGGATCGGAGCTTCTCAGGGTGAGTCTACCGCGGCTTTTCGGCCGCATGAGCACTGGAACGATCGTGAAAGCGTCGTAGCCGGCATAAGCACCGAAAACTTCTTTGTAAAATTCGTCCGTTAATCCAAGCAGACCGCGAAAGCCACCGGAAGTGTCACCGGTTAATGAACTGACGCCTAATATCAGTTCAATATCGGGATGATCATCCTCTGTTAACGATTTCTTCGTATCAGCGCGAGGATACGTTGCAAAGAAGTCGCGATTGACATTGATGGAAGTCACATTGGGGATTACTCGGGCTATGAGAAGTAATTCACAATGAGTCTCGAGAAATAATTTTAAATAATAATACATAAAATGCGTTGTAGAAAAATGGAAAATAGTTTTGTAAATTGTTCATTAATATACATTACATTTTGCGCAAGTATTTTTCATTAGTGGACAATACATTTCGCAAAAATTTATCATCAATATTTTTCATTAGTCATATTCGTTTCTTTTCTTTAATATTTTTTAAATTTTCCATTAATCTAGACATTACATGTTGCAATAATTTCTTATCAATATTTTCATTTTTCCAACAAATATCATATTTTGCAAATACACAAAAAGCGATCTGTATATTTGCAATTAACTTCATCCTCAGATGAAAGTTTCTCTAATTCCTTTTTAATTATTTAAAAAATTATTATTTTATTATTTAAAATTATTTAAAAAGGTATAATTTAAATTTTCTCAACTTCCTGAGAGGACTGACTATGCTCTCTTAAAACAAAATATTCTCACCGAGTCTTTCGCTACTTTCTGGCGTGTTTAAATGCGAGTTGTACTTCGCCTCGGACTTTTCTTTCTGCATAATTTTTGGACCGTTGACCTTGGTATTAATAAGCGCTAACGCTTCTGCACCGCCAGGTATCGTCAATGGGCCTGTTCCATGCACCAGGTACTCTATAAAATTCGCCGGATTGGTACCTAATCGTGGTTCCATGACCGTCACGCTGTCGTTGACTAGAAACGTTAGAGTTGCCATGCTCACATGATCCTGTAAGTTAAATCCCACAGGAAGATCCTCTATTACGTCGATGCCCAAGGAGGTCAGATGATCTTTTGGGCCAACCCCTGAGAGCATCAGTAACTGCGGCGAATTTAAAGTACCTGTGTAATTAGAACAACAATCGATGTATAGTAAATTGTTTTTGCGAATAAGGAATATATACAATCTCAAAACGATCCTGTATTTTCCATTTATAAGTAACACATCAAGCAGTCTCGATGCGTTCTTTAACATAAATTTGTAAGCTAAATGTTTCACTAAATTAATTTATACGTATACACATTTACAAAATAACGCGCACATTTATTCCCATATTTTATTGTAAAAAAAAATGAGATCAAACCGTCTTGCAAACGAGTGTAACGCCAAAGTTGCACTGAGTCTGTATTTAAGAGAGTAGGCAATTTATCATATAGACTTATATTGATGCAACGCCATATTTTTGCAGAACTGATTTCTTTCACGAGACATATTATCAGAATCATTAATAGTCTCAGTGATAAATTTACCTTGGCCCTTATTTTCAACCTTTTTTACTGATAAAAGTGTATAATGGTAAAAATGGCTTATAGCCAATCAGAAGGCTTATAAGTTACTTTTAGAAGTACTTTTATCGATAAAAGAGAGATCAGGACCTTTTTCTTTAAGTTGTAATTCTTACATCTAATAGTACGTATTCTTCAAACGCATACCTGCACTGAGTATGACCTCTTTAGTAGCAGAGACGTAATACGTTTTGTGATTTCTCACAAACTGAACACCCACGGCTGTTTTAGTTCTCGGATCGATCTTGATTTGTGTCACAGTCGAGAACTTTGACATATAGAAGTTCGGTCTCCCGCGAATTGGCTTGAGGAAAGCTTTGGAGGCGCTAACTCTGCGTCCGTTTCGCATATTAACTTGCACACTTGAGAAGCCTATTAGCTTGTCGCTGTTGTAATCTACTAGATCGTAACCGAGTTCTTGGCCGGCCTTCAAGAAGCAATCCCTCAAAGGAGTGGCATAAGGAGAAGTTGTAACATCGAGGTATCCATCGTATCCATGATATCTAATCATAATAAAAAAATAATAAGGTAAAATAAAACGCTCACAAAACAAGAAGGAAAGAACAATTGAAATTACACGAAACCGAATTATCGAGATTGATTACGAAATGAAATAAAGTCAGATTGAATTATCGAGCAAATAAAACGCATTCGCGATTCCCAAGAGATAAACGCGAGATAAATAGATTTGAATGCGAAATCATGTCTAAAATACACTTAGAGAAGAGAAAAATGTTAATTTCACCACAACTTATAGTCATATTCAGCTCCAATCATACCTTTTGTTTTAACGAAAAAGCAACAATTACACCGGACAACAATGAAAATGCTTTATGTGAAAATGTCTTGAATGATTTTAACGTGCTGAACACGAATATCACTATGAAAATTTTTAAGTGATTCTCGTTTAGAAAACAGTGTTTAGTTAGTCTATGTGATCTTTAGAAATGGTACTACGTAATACATCTACTAAAACTATGAAATATTCTGAAAAAGAGAAAATACTAATACTACAATAATAATACTATATTATATCCCTTTCAGTCCTTATATCCACAATTGTATGGGTCAGGTTTTGCCGCTTTATCTTTTCCCCCGTTTTCGCTAAGTGATTCAGTCCGACACCATACGATTGTGGATGTTCTATTCTCCATTACGGAGCTTCAAGTAGTTGCAAATCTTGCCAATCAAAAAATCAATATAAAAAATATCAAAATCAATAAACTTTTTTTTGAATTTTGTGTATATTCTAAGTCATAGAAATGCCCTAATAATATAAATAAATTCAAAATTTCACTGTTGGGACTGAAAGGAATACTATAATACTACACTTCGGAAATGCTCACTTGCCAAAACCAAGTGCATTTTAAAGTTAAATGTTGGCATTTTTGCGTAGTATTAATTAAATTTAAGAAAAAAAATTTGCTGCCGCTACTATAACGTCATGAAAACCAACAAATTTGTTGTTTTTGACATTTTTGTCACCGTCGTCCTTAAAATGGTGACTCGATAGCCGAATTTGGAGAACGGATTTATGTTCAGCAGGCAAAATACATCGGAAATGATTATTTATATTCGTGAAGTAAAGAAAAGATCAAATTTTGTTAACCAGTGTTATCTATCAATAATTTATTCATCGCGCGCGAGCTCTCTCGTAAAACACAAACATTCACGCGGTTTTACTCAATGAGCGTGTCGAGATCCTTGCAGACGGGCCACGCGAATACTCGACCTCCCGACCTCCACCGACCTGATGTCTCGATCGACCAGCTTGCACTTCTCGGATTTGATGAAGTACGGTAGTACATCGTTGTAGCTCCATCCGGGATTGCCAAGCGCCTGCCAGCCGTCGTAGTCGGCCGGCGCGCCTCTCGAGTAGATCATGAAGTTCACCACCGAGGTGCCGCCGACAGCTTTACCGGACATCATATTGCAGCGGCCGTCGACCATCGACAGGCAATAGCCGCCGCGACCGTTGGCGTCTTGTGGCCGCGGCTCGCTCTTGTATATCCTGCCGTAGTCGGTGACGTGCAGGATCGGCGCTATGAACGGTATATCCGTGAGGAACATCTCGTCCCCGCCTGCTTCCAGCAGTAGCACCTTCCAGTCGGGATTCTCGGTGAGGCGATTCGCGATCACCGAGCCGGCCGAGCCGGCGCCGATCACGATGAAGTCGTAGCGCCGTTCGACGATCGTGTTTTCGTCCTGCAGCGGGTCGTGCGATAATCCCGAGAAGAAGAAATGCATCATTTCGAGAACACCTGGAGGCAAAACCATCTCGGCCGCGCAGCCCAGCAGCAAAATCATCAGCCAAGGCCTCAGCATCGCGCGGACGGGCTATTTTGATCGGTCTTGACGCGGCCGTGCAGTAAACGAATTTCGCGCTGAATACTCCTCCCCTTCCTTCTTTAAACGTAGGCGAGAATTGGGCGCCGTTCAGCTTTGGGCTGCGTTCTTCAGGTTTTCTCGAGCTTACGCAAGAGGTTGTTGATGAAATATCTGTGGACCTTGACATCGATTGTGATTGGAAGAGTTTAAAGATAATTCTCCAAGACGATTAATACCGTTAATGGGATAATCATTCCGTTAGTATTGCAAAATCAAAACAGTAACAATAGAGAACGCGTCAGGCGCAATATTGAGATAATATTTATATTATTGTCAGACGATTTGTTACGATAATTTCCAATGTATAAACACATTGACAACCGGTATTGTGCTGCGTAAAATATCGCGTGAAGTCAACAAAATTTTAATATCGCGAAGAATATTATTTGCTTATAGAAATCGTTGTATTGGATTAAATATGATAAAAATTATAATTGCAGTTTTGAAAACGTAATTTTACTCTAATAGCTGAACAGCGTTAATCTGCAAAAAGTGTAACTTTATCTATTGTCAATATGTTTTAATACATTGACAGAAAAAGTATCCAAGAAAATGTACAAGATATTTCTTCATGGTGAGTACTAATAACATATTCACTTGCACTAATATAAAATATTTTTCAAATAAGAAAATACACATTTTCTTAAAACCTTAAGCAAATCTTAACTTTTTATGAAAGCAATCCATGATTCTATTCAAATAAAAGAATTTAGATTTAAGATAGTATATTATTAGTATTCCCACTAAATAAATATTTATTTTTTAAATATTTTTTCTCTCAAATCCATATTAATAGTCATTATTTGAAACTTGTCCAATGGGAGATACTCAGATATGAATTTAGAGTTACACTTGAGTTTTTTTACTTATATCACATAATATATTTTCAAACTCTGGATTTAGCTCTGGAAGATTTACATCTGGCTCTAAGTTCAAATTTGAGTATCTCATCTAAAGCAAATTTCAAACAACGATTATCAGTTGAAGAAGTAGCGCAGCAAGCAAAATGATAGACTAGAAACTTAAAGGTATCTGAAGTTCTCGAGTTCGCGACCAGTAAATTTTCAGGTGTGAAAATAGTGAGAAATCAAATAGAAGAGCTTAATTTCATTTAAAATCAACGTAAACAGACTAGTTAAAGATATATTATATCAATTATTTTGTTATTAATTGCTCGTTAATATAATAAACGAGAAATAATAAATCACATTTGTGATTACTGATATTTATTTTCAATAGAGAATAAGTGATTTATTTGACACGAATAAACATTTATTTTACGCGTCTCAGTGCAGAAATTGAAGAAGTCAATTGCAAATTAAATTTTCTCAATTAGAAATTCGCGTCATTGGCTTCATTTTTATAAAATATAATACGTTCAAGTGGAGATACTACAATTCTTGTAATTCTCCGTGACATTTAACTAACTCCGACGCGATAATTGCGACACTCGTGGCTGTGAATAATCTTTGAGTGAGAAATCTTTGTGTCTGCGTCACGATTAGATTCTTTCGCGTTTCGACACGCTCGACTTTTAAATTCGCGTATTTTTGGCTTCGCAAGTTGTGATCGACTGGAAAAATCGACAAATCGAGACATTCTGTACACGATGCTCCGCTCGTTGCACCACGTCGCACTCTCGGATATTGCGATATTAATACTTCAGAATACAATCGAGTGCGGTGGCTCTCCGAAAGATTGCGTAGAAAAGACTAGAATCTTAATGACATCGCAGAACCGCACGCGTCAGCTGTTGCGGTCCTTTGTGATCCTTAAGGTCATAGCTGCGTGACGCAGTCACACGAATTGAGAATACTAATCGACACGCAGGTGGTTGTCATCGCGTTCTTCTTTTTGCAACTCCAACTCGCGCATCGGCACGAAGAAAGAACATATGAACGGCTTCACCGAATTCTCTCCGTCTTTTTCTCTCTCATGCAACGATCCTGAAGTAATAGCACGTACTTGTCGATCATTCGTATTCGTCGGTCGTTTGCAACTCCGTCGTCGTCGATTTTTCGCGCCCAACAATCCTCAGGAAGTTCCTAACGGCCGTGCAGCTTCCGCAAAGTTCTTGCCGCGCAAAGTTTCCTTTTCTGCAGCTTACACTTTCGCGCACTTGGCGTAATTTTTATATTACACCAGTCTGGATAAAATGAATTTCTTTCTCCCTTCCTCTACTTTCTTCTTCACTGAAGAATTCAATAGACGAGACAACTCAAGTGTGGCGACGTCATGCACGTTTAACGTTAACGAGGAATCGAGAATATCTTCGCGACTCGAAGTGTCGAACGAAGAATGTGTCTTGCAGATATAAGAGATGCCGCTTGACGGTAAAAAAGAGAAGAAACTTGTGCACACCTCGCGAAAGTTGTTCAAGCACTGGAACCCAACTGAACCTCCATGTAGTCGTCCGCGTTGCTTGATCAAAATTGGGTGAAGGAAAACAACAAGGCCGCCTGTTCATTCGCGAGATTCTCAGGTGCTCCCAGATGCTTCCGTACAAATTGCCGTGTATCGTCGCAATTATAATGTTGCAATGTCGAGCGACACGCACCAGCAAGCATGCTCAAGTTCCTTCTTTGCAATATCTATTAACATAATTAGCAGAATTCGTAGAAGTGTGTGCAAACCATACACACGCCATGTGCCAAATCATGTGCATGTACACTGAGAAAAAAGACTTGAAGAGTTATTTATAGTATGTAAAGCTTATTTCACAAAAATAAATCTCTTCTTTGAATATGGCGAAATAAATGTTTATTCCTGTTAAATAAATCACTTATTCTTTGTTGAAAATAAATATCAGTAATCACAAATGTGATTTATTATCTCTCGTTTATTATATTAACAAGCAATTAATAATTACGAGCAATTAATAAATTATTAATAACAAAATAATTTATATGATATATCTTTAACTAATCAGTTTATATTAATGTTAAATGAAATTAAGCTTTTCTATTTGATTTCTCATTATTTTCACACCTGAAAATTTACTCAATACTGGTCGGACGCGAACTCGAGAACACTTCAGATACCTCTAAGTTTCTAGTCTATCATCTTGCTTCCTACTTCTTTAATTGATACTAAGTGTTTTGTATTATCCTCACATGCAGCAATATAGCATATGAAGCAATAATTATAATTTTTTTATAATATTATTTATAATATTATTAATATTATAAATATTTACGCTCTAAATGTAATACTTCCACAATACCCAATGAAAAATTTTTCATATATAATTATATAAAATTATATAAAATTATATATAATTATATATAATTATATATAATTACATATTATTATGTATCAAATTTGTCCATACATGTTTATACATTCTATTTATATATGTAATTATACATAATTATGTATAATTATATATATAAATTCATATATAAATTTACATAATTACGCATAGATTTATATGTAATTATATATATTGTTATACATAATTGTTATACATAATTGTGTATAATTATATATAATTTTATATGATTATATATAATTATACATAATTATGTATAATTATATATAATCATATAAAATTATATATAATTATATATAATTATATATAATTATATATAATTATATATAATTATATATAATTTTATATGATTATATATAATTATACATAATTATGTATAATTATATATATAAATTCATATATAAATTTACATAATTACGCATAGATTTATATGTAATTATATATATTGTTATACATAATTGTTATACATAATTGTTATACATAATTGTTATACATAATTGTGTATAATTATATATAATTTTATATGATTATATATAATTATACATAATTATGTATGGACAAATTTCATACATAATTTCGCATGAAAAATTTTTCATTGGGTATGTTTCATTTTGTTGTCCATATTTTTCAGTTCACATGTCAATAAACGATAATTCCTGCCACTTTTACCACGAAACGACAATGTATCGCCACTATTTCGTCATATTACATAATGTAAAGCGAATCAGTGTTTTCCGATATACAAAAAACACATAAAGGATCCTAAGTAGAACGGCCGATATTAACTTCGGATTCACACAAATAAGATTTATTTCTAAAAAATAAATTAGATTTCTGCAAATAAATGCTACTTGGCTACAAATATTAATCTTGTTATAACTAAATATCATTGCTGTTCCGGACGGGCCGAGTACGGCGGGCGCCGTACGCCAGGCGCCTGTCTCTTGGCGCTGGTTCGTGCCGTCGCCGCGACGCGGCGACAGCTTCATCGGACCGTCACTCGTGGTTAAAATTTGACTCGCCGCTTATACATGATGTAAATATAAAGGCCAGTCCCGTGGATGCAGTCGTTCAAAATAATAGTCAATCAAAAACGATCAGGAATGTTAGAATCCAATATGGCTGTTGACAGTATACACGTCGTTGTGTTATATATTACAAGAAAATAGTCAAGAAGGTTTATTTAATGATCACACATTTGATTTTTTCCAGTCTAACAACAATGAACTTGAGAAAAAAGGAGGTTAATAAAATAAAATACTAATAGAGAGATTCAAGATCGGTTTATAAACGTGGAAAAAAGATTAACCGCATATACCGTTATAACAATATAAAAGATCTCGGCGCGTACGTTTGACATTGGCAAACATTATTACCCTCCGATTATAACAATTTTTCTCATTAACATCTCCGATAACATAATTTGTAGGAAATAATAATGACGATTGGGACTGCTCTGTCCCAAACAGCACATCCCACGTAGCACAAACTTGCAAAGCGGTCATTGCATAGCGCTTTTATAGCAGTGAGACACACCTGCAAAAGCGCTTTCTGAGCGCTTTGCAGACGCTGCTATGTGTTACTTGGGATATCTCCACCCGATGAAAAATTTTTCATGCAAAATTATGTATGAAATTTGTCCATACACAATTATGTATAACAATATGTATAATTGTATATAAATATATGCGTAATTATGTAAAATTATATATGAATTTATATATATAATTATACATAATTATGTATAATTACATATATAAGTAGAATGTATGAACATGAATGGACAAATTTGATATATAATAATATATAATTATGTATAATTATATATAATTTTATATAATTATATATGAAAAATTTTTCATTGGGCACAGAGCATCCTAAAGACATTCTGAGAACGTGTTATATCCTAAGAACGTGCTCAGTGATCTCCTCCGGAGATCTTGTACTGTCTGAGTGTATGAAATTTATAACGCTGCAATTATGTGATTGTATGTAACAAATTATTTGTAGAAATACCGAATATTTATACAATATTGTTAATTGTTTATGCAATAAACATTTCGAAATACTGTTGCAGCAGAACAATAACGATATGACGAATCATCTTAGTGAAATGTTTGTAAAATAAAATGTACCACTTATTGCCATTATTGCGAAATATGTATTAGTAAATTTTAGAAATATTTCGCTAATATTCGCAACATCGTTACTTTATATGTATGCGCTTTATATGTGCTCGCTATTGCTCGCTGTTGCTCGCTATTGCTCGCTAAATGTCTCAAGAACATTCGTCTGTGCGCGCCAGTTCATATTTCAATTGGCGCGTATCCCCACTCCGCATGACGTCACCCGTTTAGTTCGGCCACATCCGGAGACAATCTCAGAGGGCGCGACTAAAACAGAATCCAATTTTTACAAGAGAGAATACATCCTGGGAAAGAGAGAGAGAGAAACATATCCTAACCTATAATAGCGCTGAGGACCGCATGCTTTCATACGGACGGTGTGAGACTCCGAAATAATAAACTACTGCAAGATTCGTGTTCTCCGCGAAGATGGGTAAGGTGGGGCCACGTTTGGCCAGCAGGAAGAAAGCGAAGCGATGGGCGAAGGGTCAGAGCTCAAGCTCCAACCCGGAGACTACAAAGTACCGGGAACAGGCCACAAGCATGTTCTTCAAGGACTTGCCCAGCGGCGTGTCGGGTATCACGCAGGAGGACCTGCAGAAGCACGACGCCATTCAAGGTATTCAACCACAGATCGCCAAGCTCGACATCCACGAGGATACCGCGGAGAGCACGGTAGACGGCACGGTGAACACCTTCGACACGTTCGCTAGTAACTACAGCAACTGCTCCAACATCTCCTTTAGCAGTTTTCTTGGTCACTTCCAGTCTAGCTCGATATTACACAAGGAGATGTTAGCGGTGCTTTCAGCGATCACAGAGGTCATCAAACAGAATGACGGCAATGAGACCTCAACGGAATATTTCGCCGCGTTGATGAAAACCTTGGAGGCGGTGGAGGACGACACTTCCGTGGCAGCGACGGTATCTCTGTTGGGAATGATTCTCAAGACCGTTCCCAAGAGTGTGCTGAATCTGCAGTTTGGCAACACCAGCCAGGCTCTGCTGCAGGTAAGAAAAAGGCCCTACAAGAGCTAAGCACTGAAAAAACATCATGCAGCAAAATTACAAAGCTATACAAATGTTTTGATCCCTCATGGGATCCTTTCTAAATATAGATTTGCAAAATTGACGAGTCAATTAATGTTAGACAGATTATCGCAGGTTAACACAAGGACTTAAGCAGTGACAAGAAAGGAAAAAAAAATATATATATATACTTGAGATGATGACACACATACTCCTCAAGCAATTTATTGTGTAGTGTTTTCAACAAAAATTAGGCAGTTAGAGAATCCTAAAAGAATGCACTCCACCTCGCAGTTCAAACTAGTGCTAATAAAATTCGGGTTTTTCTATACCCTTGTGCTTGTACTCACAGCTATTACCTGGAAAATCTCAGACAAGGCCAATATTCTGTACATATTTACTGACAACTATTGGTTTAGTAAGTATCGTTGTGCGAGTAAAATCATATAAAATAGCTGACAGAATATTGGCCAGATAGTAAATAGTCGCAAATATGTAATGCATTCGTTCGTTATTGTTAAAAAATCAGTAATCTGGAAATAACAAATTATTTCATGTATTCGTTGAATTAACTTTAGCCGCAAGTTGTTCATGCAGAAGGTGTGCAAACGCAAAATAAAACTCTTCTCAGTCCGAGTAGGCATGAAGCCTTCAAGTTATATTTGTATAATACTCGAAATATATCACAAAAATTCGGATAATATCTGAAAAACCTAGTTAGTTGAAATTGACATCACTAGTATTGTGAGAAGATAAACTATGGATTTAAAGCAATGATTTAATTCTCAACTGCTCAAATAGAATAGGATATGATAATTATTCGGTTGTTAACAATTAAAGTTAATGGAATTAAGTTGGAAAGTAAAAGCAAAAAAATCACAACCTGAGAAGCAGCCATATTAAAAATGTGTGTGTGGTACTAAATGTGTCTTTTCAGTGTTCAATTCTTTTAGATCCCTTTTTTTTAACTTTTTGATTGTTTATCTTGACTTACAATGTGTTCTTTACTTCTTTCTCTTGATCTCTTCCTAACTTAAACCTTAAGGTAGAAAAAAGCAGAGAACAAGAAACAGGAAGCAAAGATCAAATTGCAAATTAAACTTTTTTCCCAGAACTATTTAATACATTAACTTTTGTTCTTTTACAGATCCTTGCAAAGTATGCCGCTACAGAGAACGCCCTCATCCTGCGCCACTGTTTAGGCTGCCTCTCAGTGTTGCTGAGAGCGCAGGAGGCCGCCATCTGGACGAACTCCTCGACGATGCAGGTGCTGGACGCCGTGCTGTCTTTCAGCACGCACACGAAGCCGAAGGTACGCAAATCCGCACAGCACGGGCTCTGCGCCGTGTTGAAAGCTAGCGACGTGATGAAAGGCGAGAAGCCGCTGACTCACCACCCGGCCGCGGCGCGTATCGCAACGCACTGCATCGCACAGCTGAACACGGTCTGCGAACCAGGCGGCGTCACCGCGGTTCTGCAGACTCTCGTGTTGCTAAAGGACGTGATGCACCAGTTGCCGAAGTCGCACGTGAAAACCATATGTGAGAACCTACTGCGGATCATGACGCTGAAGAACGTGCTGATCACCTCGTGCTGCCTGCAGACATTGCACGGCCTCTTCGTCTCGAGGCCGTCGGAAACGACGTTGCCACCGCAGAGAAACGCGCAGATCATCACCGCCCTGTACGATTATCAGCCGCCGGTGAGCGACACGCAGCCGACTTTGGCGTGGTTAGCGGTCATGCAAGAGGCCCACTGCAACTTGGCGCACTCCTCGTTGAGTTTGTGCGCGGCCGTGGTGCCGCATTTCCTGAGTAACTGCATCGAACTCTGGCGGTCCGACAAGACGGAGGTGATATCCGGTACGTCGCATACCATCAAGACAGTTCTGCAGGAATGCGTGACGCCGCTCTGCGAGGACGACCAGCGTATCCAGGAATATGAGTCCACTCTACGCCAAATCGTCTCAATGATTCACAAGGCGCTGAGCTATCAGTACCTCGAAGCCTGGCATCATGTTCTTCATTTGATAGCCTTGCTCTTCCAGATAACCGGTAGGTCGAAGTTACAGGGACTCTTGGATATTGTACAGTCCTTGGGAGAGCTGCGAGATTCTTACAACTTCGCGCACAACAGCGACGTGGAGTACGCCGTCGGGGCGGCGATCAGGGCGATGGGTCCACGAGTGGTGCTGGAAGTGTTGCCTCTGCAGGTCGATGGAGATGCCGTCAATTTGAAGCGAGGTTGGCTGATACCGTTGTTGAAGGACTGCATCACATGCGGCACCATTTCTTTCTTCACTGACGTTCTTTTGCCCATCATTCAGGCCTGCGAACGAAAAGCCAAGGAAGAGCCGATTAACGGCAAAACGTACGAGTTTCTGGTGCCGCAGATCTGGTCGATCTTACCGAGCATATGCAGTGACGCTAGCGATGCGAAGGACAACTTCAAAAACATCGCTCAAAAGCTGGGTATGACCATTAACGAGCGAAAGGAACTCAGACTACCTGTGTTGGCCGCTTTGAGGAAGCTCATCAGCAAGGCAACACAGAGCGAAAACGCAGCCGATATCGCCGAGCTCTCGCGCTTCGCCAAGAATTACCTGCCGATATTCTTCAACCTGTACACGACGAGATCGAACGGCACTGACGAAGAAGGCCAGCGTCTCGCCGCTTTCGACACGATCAAGGTTTACTTGACGATCACGAGCAAGAATCTGGCGAATGAGATGTTCGACCGAGCGCTCAACAAACTCAACGAGCCGGGCGCAGATGACTTTTTCAAGGAGAGCATTTACGACTTAATCAGAGTACTGATCGGCTACACGGACGTTGATAAGTTGGAGAAGTACTACGGCATGTGCATACCGTTCCTCAAAGACAACACCAAGCAGAAAGAACAGAAAAAAGCCTATCGCTTCTTGGAGGAGATTTGCAGCAGCGACAAGGAGGTGTGCAAAAGTTTCCTTCAAGAGCACAGACGCGAGATACAGAAGGAGCTCATGTCCTCGGCGACCTACGTGATCAAGACGAGTAAGGGGCCGCGTCTCAGGTGTTTGATTCACCTCGTCAAGCTGCATCCACAGCTGGAGAAGACTAAGTTCCTGAGAGCCATCGTGCCAGAAGCCGTGCTCTGCGTCAAGGACGCCAACGAAAGATGCCGCAATTCTGCGTATCAATTGCTCAACGTCATTATCGAGAAATTCCTCGGTAAGCCGGAGGAGCTGCAAGAGTATACGAACATGTTGATGGTGGGCCTTAATGGTGAAGACAAGTATCGCTGCGCTACTTTGTTGGTTTTGGCATCCCTCATTTATCATTACTCTGGCTCCCTAGGCATGGAGACCGTCCAGGAAATCATGGACCTTGTCTGTTTATTGATTCAGACGAGCACCACGAGGGAGGTCGTGGAATCGGCACTGTCTTACGTAAAGGTGTATTTTAGCGTGATACCGTCCCCGATCGTGGCACCGACATTGCCGCGAATAGTCGACGCCTTGTCGCAGATGAAAGACGATTGCAAGCGGCACTTCCGCCAAAAGGTGCGCGACATCTTCACCAAGCTGATCAGGAAGTTCGGCATCGGGCCAATATCGGACATGGTGCCAGCCACGGATGTGATCCTGCATAAAAGACTGAAAAACATCAATAAGTTCGAGGACGCGAAGCGGAAAAATCGTGAGATGAAGAGGATGAAGCAGCTGGAAAACGATAATGACACCGAATTCAACGCCAAAAGGCGGCCCAAGAGCATTGAGGAGATATTAGCTGACAGCGATGAGGAGTTCGAAGCCACCGAAAACGAAAAGCCGAAGAAGAACAAGAAGAGAACGTCGAGGAAGGAGGCTTGGATCCAGGAGAATAAGGATAACATAGTTGACCTCATCGATCCCGCGGCGGCGAGGAATATCACAAGTTGGTAGAACATTCGGCAGAAAGCCGTTTCTCGCGGTAGACGTTGATCTAGCGATTGATTGAACTTCAATTGGTCTAGAGAGAACCATATGACAGATGATTAAAGTAAAAGCTCAGCACATACTTAGCTCTGGACATTCTTATTGTTCTGATCTCTAAAAAAAAATCTTTAATTATATTTAAACTTTCAAAACATAAAAAATATATAAACATTTACTGAATATATACATATATTTTATGTTAAAAGTTTAAATATTCGTTTTTGAAAATCAAAACAATACGAATATTCGGGAATTAGTAACTTTTACTTTAAGTTTCGGTTTAATTGATCGAATTTAATTAATACCCACCTCCAATTTCTTAGTGAATCTGAGATTAAATGAGTCGACTCTTTACCTAGAAATTAAACTGGAGAGAGAGTGTTAGTCAATTAATGTAGCTAAATTAATTTCAGTTGTTCATATGTTACTTTATAGTAGTCAAATTCATACCGATAATTTTTTCTTCTTGCTCACATTTAGCGACTTGATTTTTAGCTACTCAACCAGGATTGCCGAATCCAAAGGTTCTAGTTAAGAAAGTGAAGGACCATGATTTCAAGACTGCACCAGATGGTCGCCTTATCATCACAGATGGCAATGAGAAGGATAGTGATACGGAAGATAAGAAGAAGAAAAAGACTCCCTTCTCCCAAAGTGATTCGGAGGACGATTACGGTAAAAGGATGTTTTTTTTTCACTCAGCATTGTATCGTAGCAATATACATTTTGCGCGCGCGCGCGCGCGTGTGTGTGTGTGTGTGTATATGTATATGACATATAACGTGCGCGTTTATTTATTATAGAAGACAAGGATGACGTATCGGTAATAACCGCCGGCATAAAACGTAAATTTAGCGATGCGAATTCAGATGTAGTTAGCTTGAAGAGCCAATCGACATCAAGATACCAAGGTAATTTTATATAGGATCTGAAATTGAATCAAATTGACTTTGATTTCATTAACCTACGCAACGTATTTGAATGTATTCAAAGTATATAATAAGATCTTTACATTCGTACTTCTGTATCTTTAATCAGCTGGTGGATCGGGCATTCATCGGCCGTTAAAGGCGAGGAAGATAGAACGTGTACCTGGTTCGGAATACCGTGGGATAAAGGCCAGAGGAGATATCAAGAAGAAGGGTAAACTAGACCCTTACGCATACGTACCTCTGACGAGAGCCTCATTAAATAGAAGGTCAATATTTTTCTTTTATCAATATACATTTATATAAAATATTATATTCGCTATTAAGATAAAAATACTCAATTCTGAACATTCTTATTGTTTTGATCTTTAAAAATGCGAATATTTAAATTTTCAATATAAAATACATAGGCCATAAAATATTTATAGGCCAAAACAATAAGAATGTCTAAGATTAGGTATTCAGGCATTAGTGCAGTCTTATGTTAATGCTTTCAATGTATCTACATAATGTTGCAGAAAAAAGAAGAAGAATGCAGGTAAGTTCCAGAGCATCGTTTCTGGGGCGAAGAAGGGTGCGCGTATAGGGATGAAAAACAAACGAAAAAAACATTAGAAATTAAGTCTAGTTGTTAATTTAATTAATTAATATTATTTCATAAGATGTATCATAAATTTATTATAAAATTCAGCAGTGAGAAAGTTGTGAGGGACTTTCGTTTCGCTTATAGATCCATGTGAAATATAACAAATTTTTATTGTATAATCAGAGCCTTTGTTTATTTATATCAGTTATGATACATTCCCTTCTTTGTAAAAGGTCTACAAATGCAGGTCTTTATTATATCTCTCTGTTGAACACACATTATGCTCTCTATGCATATTAATGTATGGCAAAATATTGATACTAAATCACCCACATATCACATACATTTCAAATAAATTTATTGTAAAATTTAATTCATACACATATTGCATCACTTGAATAAAATAACTTTTAGGGCATATTATAAATACAAAATAACTTGGAAGAAATATTAGTAATTAAAGTTGCAGTTGTGATGATGTTTAACTTTTGCAAAAAAATATTTTGCTATTTAAAAAATTTTGTGACTTAATATATTCTTTTTTACAAGTATACATGTGTATATATGTATACATATGTGTATATATGTGTGTACATGTGAGGGAGATTTATTTTAAAAGTACTTTTTATTAAAAAAAAATTCTGTTTAGGTAGACACATCAGTAACTCACTGTCCTTTAGCACTATCTTTTCTCGGTAACATACTTTCTAACTCTCCTGACTCAATCATTTCTTTCACAATGTCCAATCCACCGATTAGGTCTCCATTTATATACAACTGAGGATATGTTGGCCAATTACTAAACTTTTTGAGTTCCTCCCTAACCTCCTGGTCCTTAAGTATATCGAATGTCTGGTAATCAGCTTTGTAGCCATCTAAGATGGAAACAATGGTCCTGGAAAAACCACATCGTGGTTGCTCAGGGTTACCCTTCATGAACAACATACAGGATGCTTGATTGATCAGTTTCTTCAGTCTGTCCTCTAAAGGTTCCTTTGGTTTAGTTATATCACTGAATGACAGATCCTTGTTATTTAAGTGGTGAGTAACTCTTTCATTTAACTTGGTAGGATCGAAGCCATTTATTCGGTCTACTACACGACTGTTTCTCAACAAGAGGATAGTTGGTGCTGCTGCTATTCCAAACTTTTGAGATACTGTGGCCATGTTCTCAGCCTCGATCATGGCAATCTTTGCATCCTTGTACTGCTCTACCTTGCACATCTCCTCCAACACATCGTTTGTTTTGGTACACTGTTGTGACCATGGTACATAAAAGTGAATGACGGTAAGCTCCTTGGTCCTTAAACGATATAAAAAATTGATAAACTAAAAGATATAAAAAATTGATAAATTATTTATCACAAAAGGTTATGAAAATATGCTAATCATTGCGACCGTAATTAATGGGGAATTTATAATGTGCAAAATAATTATGTGCTATATTTTTATTTCTTTGAAAGATATCAATCGTATCCTAGAAGTATAATCTTATTTATAAGAATATCTAGTTTCTAAAAAGACAGTAATAAGAATGATACACTGTTTCCTCGTGTGGATATTAAATCTTAGGAACAACGTGCCGGATGACGTTAGAAATTTGCCACTGTATCATGATTATTTACTTGACAAATTGGTCGAACGCTTCTTCCGTATCCAGTTCGGGGACACCCATCGTGTTATTTTTTGCTCGGCTCCGATTCTATAGATATTGCAAGCGTTGTGCAAAATGTTAATTTGCAGAGGTGCGTTCGAAAACGTCACCCGGGCAGCCGTTACGTTGGGTTGAAAGAGATAAGGGTGCGGAAGAGATAAGGGAAAACGGAACGGAATGGCGCGTCGGTCGCAAATAAATATGATTAATTCGTCAATATTTCGTTATTTTGACGCGACAGAATTAATTATATACATAATTGCAATTATCTTGCATTATGCAATTATCTTGCCGATAACATTGTCATGAATATTCTAAAATATTTAATTGAAGAGTGAAAAATATTTTATACCTAGAAATCCGTTCCTTTTTTGCTACATGGGACTGGTAGAGGAAACTTTTACGGAACGGAACTAGAGAACTGAACGCTCATTATAGTAAGAAATCCGATCCGGCGTTCCGATCCGTGCTCAATGGGACGGCACCCTAATACGGGTCCTATTTTATTCGTCGTGAAGTTGGGCAATAAAATAGACGATTTGATTGGTCCACGAAGGACAACGCGCGTGTGACGCGCTAAGTGGGAACGCACCTATACGAGAATGAGATGAAGAGGGAGAGCACCCGAGTGACGTTTCCGAACGTACACCAGCAGTGAATGCATTCAGTACTACACCACTTATGAGCGCTCAATGAACTTTTGCATCTGATTGGTATATTTTTTTAGATCTAAAGAAATATACCAATTAGATGCAAGAGCTCAATAAGCGCTCAGTGCAATTGTTGGACTAAATGCATGCAGTGATTACGACAATCAATCAGAATAAAGCAATCAGTGAATAAAACGCTCTGACTGGTTGACTTTTATGATCACGACGACGTTTACGCAATTGTAAATGGCCTTAAAGCCCGTATCAGACTACCTACTGCACAGGCCGAGTCGGCGCCTCACTGTGATTGGTCCATTGATACTCGGTAGTCGTAGTCGGCAGTCGGGTCGCCCTGTGCAGTCAGTAGTCTGATACGGGCTTAACGGAACCATATTTTGCAGTGAAAATGTAGGCGACTAAAGACAATGGCTGCGTTTCTTTTGGACGCTTACGTGCTTTAAGCGCTTATAAACATCACTTTATCTTTCTATCCGCATCTAATGAGCGATAAAGATATAGCATGTTCGACTAACTTAGGTTAACCTAGAGATCCTGTAATAAGAAATTGGATGACACCATATGTCAACATTTTGATTGGCTGCGTATCCCATATTTGGGATACGTTTCCGGTTAGGATCATTAGCTGAATGACAACACAAGCAGTGGTCTGTTCTTTTCAGCTGCACTGGCTGCACTGCTGAACTAATGCAATAAGTTAAAGTGAGATAAGTGATATACTTCCGATTTGGACCCAAACATGGCGAATCTAGTATCTATAGGCGACGGTATTCGATCTCTTATTAAAGGATCTCTAGGTTAACCCACTCTGAATTATTCAGTCTACGTTTATTGGTCGAACAAATATTTATAAGCTTTATGATTGGCTAGTAGAGACTTATGACGTCTTTAATCGCTCTCGGAGCGATTAACCCAGGGCCAGTCGAACACGCTAATAGAATGACGCTTACAGCGCCCAAAAGGAAATAGGGTAAATAGATGGTCTGTTCTTTTTAGCTACACTGTTGAACTGGTGCAATATGTTAAAGTAAGACAAATATATTTTTTCTCACTCTAACTTATTGCACCAGGTCAGCAGTGCAGCTGAAAAAAACAGACCAAGGCCGGTATTCATAGTCCGATTTTATATTTAAGATCATCTTAAGTATTGTTTTAAGATGTCATGAACCAATCACAGAGCCGTATTCGCATCTTAAGACATTATTTAAGACGGCTTGAAGTAAGATTCAACTATGATTACCGGCCCAAATGATTGCTGAATGTGCGTGCGCGAGTTTTGTTTTACTAACGGCCATTCTTGGTTTCAAAGTCCGAAAGAATATGGTCGATTTTTTTGATTCATTGATGGATCTATTGCATGATGCGCAAATGCAATGGCCGCGTTCAGTAGAACAAGTGATCAGTAAGCGCTCAGTGAGCTCTTACATCTGATTGGAGTATAGTTGGAGATCTAAAAGAATATGCCAAATCATATACAAGAGCTCCCTGAGCGCTTACTGATCACTTGTTCTACTGAACGCGGCCAATGTTTCGCTGTATTTACGCATCATGCGATGGATCCATCGATGAATTAAAAAAACTCGCCTTATATATACCGCGAATTAATCGGAAAAAACGGCACCATTGCAATTAAAGGAAGTACTTGCCATTGTATTTGCTGTTACTCAGAATGTTCGGAGAAATTACTTAGAATATTCATTGTGTCTGCGCGATCTGCTTTAAATATGAAGCCTCGCGAATCTTGTACCCTGGCGAAAATAGAAATTGGAGAGTAAATAAAGTGTAAACGAAGAGTGACGGAAGTATAAGTGAAGCGCTTACAAAGCGTAAATTGAAACATCGGAATGTAAAGCAAGCGAGTACGTTCCGATGTTTCAATTTACTCTTTGTAAGCACTTCACTTATACTTCCGTCACTCTCTTCGTTTACACTTTATTTACTCTCCAATTTCTATTTTCGCCAGGGCGTAAATTGTAAGTTAATTTCTTCTAATTCCAAGCGTTATATTTAGGTTAAAATTTGGAAGCGGAACGTATTATCCCAGGTAGCAAAGTGACGTTTAAAGACGTCATTAAGACGTTATTAAGACGTCTATGACGTTTTAATGACGTCTTTAGACGTCACCTTGCTACCTGGGATGTCTTCTCCCAAGAAACGATACATCTTGTTTATAATGTGCAATTTTATCTATATACTTACAGTGATCCAAACTTAGAACAAAATGCGTCTATTACTGGTGTGTGATCGTCAAGAGAGGCGTCGAAGACCACCAAAAAGAGCATTCTTAACTTATCTAGACACAAGAGCATCTTACAAGAGCATTCTTAACTTATCTAGACACAATTGAAGGTAATGAGTTTTATAACTCGCTTTGATTTTCGTTGAATCAAAGAAAAATAATTACCTGAGAAACAAAATTTAATTTGACAATATTCAATTATTTATCACTAAAGTTTCTTTTGTTTGAAGTAAAGTAACAAGAAAGTGAGAAACATTGACTATAGATTATAAATTAACAGTCCAATTTTAATTTGTAGATATTTTATTATCTTTAAATAATACTCAATTCTAACTTGAAAAATAATACCTAACAATTGTTAGGAATAGGACATTCAGTAACAATGTTATCGACTTAAAATCGTAATAATATACAGTGTGTGATGATAAAATAAGATTAGACGCAAACAATATAGAGTTACATACAGTATTATCAGTTGTACACACTAGGACTAGATAACATAATAGAGGATTAAGTATGCTAGTACCACATTATCATTCTGCGCCATTATTTATTATGCGTCAAAGATAAGAAGCAACCAAGCAGTTACGTTGGAATTCCATTCCAACAGGAATATAGATCATGCACCTTAAGGTGTATGAGGGGACCTTCGTGCTCGTTCGAGACGGGCCTGGCGAGCAACGTAACAGGTGCATGGGGAAATGACCAATCGCGCGAATGGCCGCCGGCCTCTCGAGGGTGGTGGCCGCGGGAGTGTGGGCGACGTGGGAAGGGGGAAGAATGCCTGTCAGACGGCCGGGCAGAGCAAAAAGCTGATACAGATGCCGTCGGGCGGCGAACGTGCACGTGCGACGCTTTTTTTTTTTCGTGCACGGCGGGCGCAATGTCCAAGGAGTTGTCACGGAACTTGGCCCTCAACGATATCTCCGTCTGGGACACGGAAGAGGTGCTGAGATTACTGCGGAATGTAAGTAGAGTCGATAAAGAAATCGTTGCCACGACGACGACGACAACGACGACGGTAATGTCTTAATCACGCTCGTCGTTCTTCGTGATACACCTCGCGCGGTTTTACATGCGAGTTGCGAGACAGACAGGCCTGAATGTGCGAGACAAAGAAGGAGAGAGAAGAGATACAAGGGAGTGCGAAAGCGCAACTAGATGTAGCAGACGTGATTTTGTGACGACCACCGAGAGAGCGAGAAAGAGAGAGAGCGAGTGAAAGAGAGAGAGAGAAGACTGTCAGTCTGCTGCTCAAATCTCTCAGCTGTGTCTTTTTGCGTTTTCCCTCTTTCTTTCGCAGGTATTCGTTCGCTTTTGGTCGATTGATACGTCTCGTGATTGTCTCGCGAGTCGCAGTCGACGGCGGATGTATGCACGGCTTCAGCAGCGCGACATGATGCATGTCGCGGTAAAATTGCGGGGAATGCCCATGGCTCAGGGAACACCTAAGCGTACGCGGCGCGCCGCGATACCGTGCGACGCACGTGCGCACGTTAGCGGGATCTCTCTTTTTTTTTGTTCTTTTCGCGGTTTCGTTCGAGTACCCACGGTGCATTGACACCGGAGATCTTTGATACGTACTCACATCTCATAGTGAGATAAGAGAGATAAAAAGATTATCGACTAATTAAATGTCTTAACGTATGAAATCTGTGCAAAAAATCTGTCGTCTTCATCGTATAAAAAAGAAAATGAAATTATCTAGTAATCTCGAAGAATTTATCACTTTTATGAATGAAATATAAACAACAGTGACTCTGCATTCTTGTACACTGAAGAGAAAGATATCTAAGAGGCAAAAACATTCATCTGGTGGGTACTAATAATATATTTACTTGTATTGATACATAAGATATCTTTTTAATAATAAAATATACATATTCTTAAAATCTTATAAAAGCTTTAGTCTTTCATGAAAGAAATTGCTTATCTATTTGAATAAAATAATTTAGATTTAAGAGAGTAAATATATTATTAGTGTCCACAAAATAGATAACTACTTTTTACATATTGTTTCCTTCAATGTAGACATCTAAAGAAGATTTGCTGTTTTCTTCTGAATATCCAAAGTTCCTATGAGAATTTCATAAAAAAATTTTTTTAATCTTAGGAAAACCTTAACTTTTCATAAAAGAAATTATTTATTTATCAATCATTTATTTATTTACTTAAATAAAAGAATTTAGATCTAAGTAAATACGTTATTAGTATTTCCATCAAATAAATATTTACTCTCTTTTAGATATTTTTTCCTTCGTATAGTATAGACATTTAAAGAAGATTATTTGTACTTCCCTTTCAAATTTTTGTGAGAATTTTATAAAAAAATGACAAGTATATTACATCCAATATGTAATTATATATAAATTATATTTATTCAAAGATACTACCGGAGATCGCTGCGCGCGATCAAACTCGTGCTGTTAAGACCCTAACGAAGATTTATGAACAGAGAATTAGTGTGGTTCCCAAATCTTCACATAAGAACGTTTCTCTGCATTATTCCAGCATTAGGGCCACTTTTTTTCGAGAACTCGGCCGGCGAAAGGGACGTTGCATTTCTTCACGCGTATCCTAGTTTCGTAGTCGGCTGGGTTGGTGCGTAAAGTAACTTTCTCGAATTCCTGAGTAATTAAATTGCCATGAACCTCGCATCATCGCATCGCTCACTTTTCTGCTGTGATTACGTTTTCCCTTCGATTTTTACCATGGAGAAGACACTGTAATAATTCAACGTAGATAATTGGACGATTTGCGAATTTCTGAAACCAACATTTTGTACGACTTACAAAAAAAATTTGAAAGATTAATACTTTAGCTCATTTAGCTTCGTTGGAAAACAATGGGAAAATTAATTTATTTATCATAAATTAATTTTTCAATTATTTATTCGTCGTCAATTTATCGGTTAAATTAATTTATCGTAAGTTAATTTGTCGTATAAGTTTTAATAGTTAACTTATGGTGATTTGTAATACAAGTGACTTGATTGTTCGTTTAATAACGAGCGGGAATTACCGTATGAAATCATCATATATGATGGCACAGTTTAATTATACAACATCATATATTTTATCATTACATGTGTGTGATAATTTTGAAATTTCCGCAACTCAGATGATAAGACATAAAAATTCCGGTCCGTACAATCAGTAGGTTAACCATAATATTATCAATGATACCATTATGTCGGGACTTTTTTGTTTCATTTATGAATCTGAGTACGCAAACTATGTTTTAATACGTTATTTACGTCATCGGAATGTATGCGTATCTATGCTCGTTATCAGCGCGTTAAGCATCCTGTAGACTGTATTTCCTGATTTTTCAGAACGGCTTGGAGGAATGTTGCAAGGCGGTTGAGAAGCGGCAGATAGACGGCGATGAGTTGCTAGTGAGTGAATTATTCTTGCGAAAACAAAGGGGTGGGGGAGGGCACCCATGCAACTTCCCGGTTTCGTCTCATTTGTCGGCTCACGACGTCTCTCACACGGCTGTTCCTGTCGATGACCCCTTAGTCGCCCTGCATATACAAGGCGTCTGAAAAGTGGGGCGCCTCGGTAGCAGAATGTCGAGCTTCACGTTGTTTGCAGTTTAATCCGGCGACCTGAAAAGTTTACGATGGAATTTGCCGACAAACGTGTGGTTCTCTTTCTTATTAATTCAGACATATAGCGTTCTCTATCACATTTAAACCCAAATATCGCGTACATATATAAATATATATATTTTTTTTATCTGTCATCTATTGACTTTTAAATAACTAAATTTTTAAATATATTAAATTTATCGAGATGTGATTCAATTAAAGCGGCTCTGAGGACGATGTTGTTATAATGAAAAAGATACGCGTTACATTCATCTGCTCACTTCTATTGATAACACACGACTGCTTCTTTCCGGCCGCGATAGTATTTCGAGACGGTCGGCGATGCATGCTCTCTTGAACGCCGCTTCAATTAATTGTAATTATTGCAGCACTTGACGGATGGAAAGCTGGCTCTCTGGAAGAATGACCTCACGCGTCTACTGATAGGGTGAGAGAGCGAACCAAATCCAGCTTTATTTCTGTCCACATCACACAGCTCCGCGCTCTCGTCTTCACCTCTTCGCGGAATCGCGTCTCATACTTCTCATAGCGTTCTAACGGTATCCGATTATTCCGTATGCGAACGGCGTGCGTGTTTTGCTCGCGTGTCGTTCACGCGAATTTACGCGCACAAAACGCAGGAACAATTTCGATTGGATGAAGAAAAACTCGTGTGCAACGCGTGATACTTCAGTGTCGCTTTATTTTTTCTTTATTAAAATTCTGTTTAAATTTTTTATCCATGAAGAGAGTTTGCCTGATTTAATTCTGAAATCTGTCTGTGAATTTTTCGGGGAGCGATTTATCGGTAACGAAAGAATGCAGATATATGAGAGACAGCAAGAACAGATATTTGTAACGAAACATGTCGCGTTGCAAATATTTGAGTCGGGCGAGCTTCAGCGTTTCATAAAGAGGCGAGCTGTGTTGCGGGGCACGTTTCGCGCGATTGAACAATTTGATGACCGCAAGTCGTGCATAAATGCATAATTCTATCGCGTGGGTCGCATTCGATCGTTCCTTCACTTTACACTCGCGTAACCATCTAACATCACGCACTGCTGTGCTCATGCGCTCGCGCGCGTAACTTACAGAGGTGTGAAAATTATTAGAACAATTTTGATTTTTTTATTAATATTCTCTAATTGTTTTTTCCAATAAATGCCCAATTTTAGAAAATATTACAATTTATTATTAATATTTCTTATAAGTTTAAAATAATTACAAGCTTGTATTACATATTGTACAACTAAATTATATAAATAATAACAGATTATTTCACAGGAATAAACTTTATATCTCAAAAATAAATTTTCAAATACTTTTCTCAGTGTGTAGTAACCCGCCATTTCCTATATAAAAATTTACTTTTATATGCAAGACATATTTTACAAAAGAATTTAATATAATATATGATATGTCCGTCATTATTTATATAATTTAGTCGTACAAATGTAATACAATATGTAATACAAACCTGTAATCGTTTTACATTCATAAAAAATATTGATAACAAATTGTTCCTGAATGTTTCCTGAAATTAGACATTTATTGAAGAGAATAATTAGAGAAAATAAATAAAGAAATCAAAATTATTCTAATAATTTTGGTTTTCACACCTCTGCATTTCACCTTTTGGAAATATCAATAATGCATTTAGCCGACGTTAACGTTAACACGACATGTTGAACGCATAGATATACATATTTGTTTAATTAGAAATAAATGTGGCAGGAAATTATGGACGTTCGTTCAGGAACTGAACAAGACACCGGAAAAATATCTGCCGGACAAGACCGCGGACGTTCAACAGAACGATTATCACTCGAACGACAGCGATTCTTGGGACACCGACTTCGAGGACGAGATGCCTGAGGAGAACTCCCGCGTCGAGAATACGCAGCAGGAAGACGTGAAACCGAACCTGGTCAAAAGCAGGCAAGCGCTTCTACTGAACAACATTGCCCGAATAGCGATGCGTTCGCCGTCGCTGAAGAACGCAGTGGAGCAAGAGGAGACCTACGCCAACTTCGAACCTTGTCAGGACGACGAGGAAAATATGTACCAGAATTTGCAGGAGGCGAAACCGCCGCCTCCGAGGAACATATCGAGACTGTACAATGAAATGCAGAAGATTTTGACTATGAAGGAAAACTCGAAGGAATCGGAACATAGGAATGAGATGGAGAAGAAGCCGATGATTGGCCTGAAGTCGGAGACGTTGCCGGCGGGGAAGCCAATGATCGGCCCGAAACCGGAGACGAAGAAGATAGCAGTGGTATTTCCCGACAGGAAGTTTCCGCAGAAGTCTTTTCTACATAATCCGCCGAAGATAAATCAATGTGTTCCTAGAGAGATAACAAGTTAGTGCAGAGTCAGTGCGTTATGCTTACAGTATAAGGTCGATCCTTTCAGTACGAAATTCGAGTAAAGGATAAAAAACTATCCGTTGTGGATAAGATTTACACTATAAAATCAGCCGCCAATAAGATGTCATATATAATTTTCAATTTAAAGAGTGTTTCTGTGTCTCTCAATACATATCTCTTCAAATATTGTAAATTTATTTTACGATAACTGCTTATTTAAATCAGCAACAAACTATTTCGCGCTTTGGTTTCTTCATACCGAAAGGGTGATATTACGAATTATATCGCATACACATGTAACGAAATGTGCCTCCAGGGAGAATGGCTGTGCCGCCTCCGCCGGAACCCAAGAAGAACAAGGACTACACGTCCGTGGAGATAAAGAAGTCGGAGAAGATATTACCAAAACCGCCGACTACCATAAGATATTTTGATCTCGTAGAAAATTTGCCGGCGCAGACGGTGGAAAGCGAAGACGAAGACGAGTATGAGACTTTCGCAGACAACGTTAACGAGCAGCCGCTGAAAAAGGAGATCACGAGGGTCGACAGCAAACTGTCGTTACACAGTGGTCGTCAGGGGTCGGTCGAGAGCGTTTACAAGCCGCCAAGTGCCACGAGCCACGAAGAAGAGGAGGAAGAATACATTTACGAGTGCATTACAGAAATGGTGAGTTTTTTTGTTGTTTTTTAATGACATTTACTTTGAGGGGGAAAGGGGACGCGTGAGATTCGTCAAGTTATTTCTGATTATTAATACTCACTGTCGTCAGCCGGAGGATAATGGCTATCTGAGCCCGATTCAAAGGACAAAAAATATGCAGTTACCACCACCGTTACCCGTCAAACTACTCACTCCGCCGCTCACTCCGCCTTCGAGGATCAAGTCGGAGAAACTCAAAGGTGAGCGCATTCCTCGCGTTCCATCGATAGATTAAGATCGGAACAAGCGATATCAATCTGTCCTTGGCTCCGAAAGGTCAAGAAACGTTACGTGTTTGTATAAAAGATATCGTAAGAAGAGCGTTTTCACGGATATAGGAATTTTCTTTCGGCTTCAGTCTAACAGAGTTGAAAGATCAGGAAGAATAGATTCATAAGAGTACTCTTTTTCATAAATATAACGACCAATTAAACTAGAAAGTCAATGTCTCATGAAATTGGATCTTCGCCAATACCGTTATTTCGCTCATCGACTCGATTAAATGAGAGGCGATTGGATACAAGCTATTTGTGCGTTACACGGGCACGAATTGCCTCATTACGTCAACGAATGAATGGCGAGCGAAAACAGTAAGGCGTTGCCGCGGCACATGCGGTCGAGTGAAATGAATGAAAAAAGTGCAGGATGCAGCAGAGTCGAGAGAAACGTAGGGACTTCTCACGAACATGTGCTCGACAAATGCTGCTTATCATCACCATTTCCTATACAACCTGATGCTGTTGCGATAATGCCACCAGTTGCCTTTTAGTCATCATCAACGTCTGATTCAAGCAGAACTATTCCACATACGCGTATTCACCGTCTCCCTATCGCAATATGTCAACGATGTTGACATGTTACAATATGTGAGATTGTAGCGGTTGCGATCTTCAGAACGTACAAAGGATTAAAGGTGTAGGACGAGATTGGCCTGAATCGTGTGCAATTTTCGCCTGGAATCGTTAACAGGCAACAACGGCGCGAGATAACGGAGGACTATTATATTTTTTTCGTCGCCGAGTCAGCGCACGATTAGTGCAACGAAAGTCGGGAAGTTAAGAGGAAGAAAAGAGTGAAAGGAAGCAGAACACGAAAAACCGCAAGAACATGCTAAAAGCAAAAACGCTTTGTGAGAAACACCACTTCTAATCAGGATTACTGACGCGAAGCACGTGACTGCAAACCGCGATAAATAAAAGGAAAAGATAAACAACCCGGTAACAGCGATCGCAGAAGCCGAGAGAGCGAAATACTGTGATGGAATGTGTTCCTGTTTTTATTTGCGACTGAGCAAACAGCTCCTAGGCGGCTTGGGTACGCGCCTAGCCGATGAGGTCGCCGATATGATAGTGAAGATCAAGAGGAGTTTGTCCATGTGCTGCTATCGGCAACCACCTGAGCCGCCAGGTATACAGTAGGATTAAATAATGCATTGTGCTCGGCGACGTGATTTCACCTTCTCCTCCGGTGTACAGTAGCTGATCGCAGATCAGTTCAACATGCAAGTGCATCAAACGTGCATCTGTTAATTCTCAGCTTGTCGGGGATCGTTGACACTCCGAGTGATTCCGATGAACGAGAATAGATTTCAAAAGTTCGGACACTCGGAATTCGTCTTTTTCGCGCGTGTCTATTAGTGGTTCGTCTTGGGGAAACCACAAATACATACACGCAAACCTTCTCAAGTAAAATTACTTCTCTTCTTTGGAAAATACTGGGTTTGTTTGCATTCTTCTCAAACCTTGGGTTGACACATGCATAATCCCAAAAACAGTACCGAAATTCTAAAAGTGAGACAACGTCTTGAAGAGTCACAATCCTGAAAATTGAGTACAGAGACGATTCCCGAAATATCGAAAGCATAAAGTTATCCCCAAAGTTGTATAACAAGTTATCGACAATTTCATGCTTTCGATATTTCGGGAGATTATCCTTGTACTCAGTTTTCGAGATTGTGATATGTTTTCAATATTTCAGGAAAATTGTATTTCGGGACGATGACCTATTCCTCAAATTTTGTTTTGGGAGTTGATTTTTCGGTATTATGCATGTCCATCAAGGCCTTGTTGTTATCTTCCGAAGTACATTAACCATCGCTTACGTGGCGCCTGAATTATCTGATTTACTGAGAGATATTTTTAAGGGCGTTGTGGACACGTCTATGCCCCATGCCGAGGGACCAACGGATTGATATCTTTGTTTCCACGATATTTTAAGGAGATCCGCTACGATGTTCGATCTCAGTTTCGTCGGAATAGTTGTGCCGTGCGCGTCTCTTGAAGCGAAGGTTCCTCTAGTGCGATCCGCGCGAGGAGGCCAAGCCGCGTGACAAGTTTCTACTGCTGTCATTACATTCGTTTCTCTTTCTCTCGCTCTCTTCGTCCCTGTCTCATTGAACACGTGCGGTGATTCGCTTGCGCGTTGTTTAATTTCGCCGCTCTGTGTCCGATCGTACCGTGGTACGAGAGAGATTCGGCTGCGATTAACCCACGCAGTAGTATACATTAATCATAGTGGATGATAAGGAATTTAATGATGAAACAATCGAACTCGAACTTGAGATAGACATCTGAGAAAGAGAGAGAAAAGAGAGAGAGAGAGAGAGAGAGAGAGAGAGAGAGAGAGAGAGAGAGAGA